AGACGTCAAACTTGACAAAAACAAAATTTTATCTGAAAATGTTTGTTAAACCCAATAAAACAAAGAACAAAGTAATTTTTAATTATTCTTTAAAAATTTTTCTGTCTTTATTACAACATTCTAACATTCAATTGAAAAACTTGTTTCTTGTCATCAAAATGAAGTTTCCGTGAAAATAACAATAAATTTTTTGTTATTTTTTTTTTATGACACAAAAGTTAATCTTGAAAATCTTGCAAAAATAGAAATAATTGTCAGATTTTAATGAAACTTTCAGAAACTATTCAGTTATGATGGAAATTATTATAAATGTTTTTTTTTTTTTTTTTTGTCATTATAAAAAACATTTTTATATATATAAAATCAAATGTACGGATGCCCGGAAGAAACATGATCCAATAAAAACATCACGTGACTTGATTTGTATGGCACTGTTAACGGCCTTTACATTTATATAAAATTACTTTAAAAAAATTATAATTTCAATAATTCCTGAAAGTCTCATTAAAGTCTGACAATTATTTCTATTTTTGCAAGATTTTCAAAATTAATGTGTGTCATAAGAAAAAAATGAACAAAAAATTTGCCATGTTATTTACTAAAGTTCCGGTGATGACGAGAAACAAGATTTTTCAATCAAAACTTAAAAACGTTCTAATAAAGACAGAAAAATTTTAAAAAGATAATGAAAAATTACTTTGTTCTTTTCCCTTAATAGTAACAAAAACATTTTGGTAATAAAATTCTGCTTTCGTCAAGTTTAAGGCCGTTTTTTTCATGCTATGCCTACTTAAAAATAACAAGGTAAATAAGTTAACATAAAGATAAATTGTCACTTATGACCTTCCGTACTATAGATTTCCGCGCGTGATGAAAAACATGCACACGTCATTTGTCAATCAACACCGCAGTTCAGACCGGCTTTCTCCTATTTGAAAAAACGTGTTTTCATCACAGAAAATAAGCAATCTTTGTTTCAAAATATACTAAATAAACTTTATAATTTCTTATTTTTTTTTTTAAATTAGTTTAAAAAAAAAAAAAAAAAATCATAATTGATTTTTTTAAATAAATTTTAAATGGCAACATTCACTTTTGTAAACAAAAGTTAAAAAAAAAACTGGAGATTATCGATCTTTTTTTTTTTTTTTTTTTTTTCCCCCGATTCAAAAAAATTGAAGATTTTTAACGAATTTTGGACGTGCTAGAAAATTATTAAAAAATTTTAAAAAATATTCAAAAAATACTTTGATCATTCCTCTTGATAATAACATTAACATTTATATGATAAATTATTTTAAATCAAATTTAAGGCCTTTTTTATTCATGGTATGCTATATTTTTTTTTATCTATCTCATGGGCATACCTATAGCTAACGATTCTATAAAAAATGTTTTCAAATTCATTTGTAACAGTTATCCATTACATTTTTAAATTTTTGTGATCAGAAATATTTCTACATTTACTTGGGACTTGCAAATTATTAATGTACACTGTACTTTTGCACATTGATCGGTTTACATATGAAAATAATCTTTGTAGTTGTGGGCTTAAAATAACCAAATTTCTATGGTACTTGATCCATTTCCTATATCAATATTGATCCACTTGTATATGATGAAACCCCCAATATCTGACACCTCTTATATCAGTGCTTTTTTTTTAAAGTGCAATGCATGGAAAAGTTTTCTGATACTGGTTGGGTCAATCTTTTTCATTCTCTAGTTACTGTTAAGTTTCCTCTTTTTTTCATTTACACTTCTCATTATTTTTCCCAATACAAAATCATTTTTTCTGTTTGTTATATCTTGACTTAAAAGCTACACTGCTGAGAAAAATGAGGGTAGTTTTAAAAACACATCTTACGACTCTGTTGTCAACCATTGTTCAGTAATAATTGTTTGTTTTTTTTTTTTTTTTTACTGGGGTTTTTTTTTTTTTTTTTTTGTAAAATAAGGTTTTATAAATTTTGAATTTGAATCCACCTGTACATGATGAAATCTCCAACATCTGACACCTCTTATATCAGTGCCTTTTTTTAAGGTGCAATGCATTGAAATTGTTCTCTGATACAGGTCGAAAGAGTTGAATTTAATATTACTTTACCAGTTCAGGTGTTTGGTAAACTTTCTACCTCTCTTTATATTTGCATGCCAAATTAGTTTGTTATAGATCTTTGTTACTTTTTCTAACAGCTGTTAAGATCAAGAAAAACAAAGACAATGTCAAGTTCAAGGTCCGATGCAGTCGTTTCCTCTACACACTGGTTATTCAAGACCGAGAAAAGGCTGATAAGCTGAAACAGTCTTTGCCTCCAGGTCAGTATCTTTTTTTTTTTTTTTCAGCTGGGTGAACAGAATTCATTGTGAAATATGCATTTGTAGGGAGGAGTCTTATACAATTGTTGATATTAATAAAATTATTTAGGAGACAAATTCATTCGCTTTTAAATTGATGCAGTGTATTTATTTTTCAGTTCACAATTCCAACATAACCAAACTTATGTTTTGCCATTTAATCTAGTTCTTAACACTTTTCTCCCACCAAAGTATAAGGTATTTTTTTCACTTATGACATAGAATTTACAGCTTCTTTTTCTTCATTTATACAATACACAACAAAAATACACATGTACATTTAAATGAAAACAAAAACCCTTAAGCATTATTTCTCCATTCTTAGGTTAAAAGCAGTGAGATAAGTTTTGACTTTTATTGGATTGTGAACCCCACTACAATTTTTTTTTTTTTTTTTTTTTTGACATATTGGACACCTGAAGCAAGTTTTTACTTGCTCATTCCTTCTGTACAATTTTGGTGGCACACACAGATTTAATCTTAAAATGAAATATTTCAACCACATAATAAAACAATAAAATGAATATTTCTTTCTGACATTTGACTTTCCTCTTGTATATAAACGTATTCATTCTCAATAGATTTACTTTAACCATTTTATTACAATTTCTTCCATTTTGAACATTATAAACCTGTCTTGATCTCAAGATACCTGAAATAATGATCCCACCTCCATTTTCTTTTGTTGGGTATAACTTTGTCTTAACACAGGATTTTTTTTCTTTGTAGGTCTTCAAGTGAAAGAGAAATAAAAACTGACCAATAAAATATGGATCTTGTCACCATAATCTGTTGTTTTGGATATTTTCAAAACAAGTGACATAAATCTAATTATTCCATTAGAGATAAAATTCACATGAACATGTAAGCTTTTCTTCATATTGGAAATTACAGAGAAAAATAATTATAATTAAACTTATGTCACTTGTTGATTTTTTTTTTTTTTTTTTTTTTTTTCCTTTTGTGCTTTGGTTGTTAAAACAGAAGCAGATCATGAATTAGTAGTGCTTACAATATACATGTTGACAACTGTGCGGTCAGTGAGGGGAAAGTAGTCTACACTTTCTTGTTATTTGGCTTTAATCCCATGGGTAGTATACAGGCTCTTCTATATATGTTTGTTTGTTTTTTGTTTGTTTGTTTTTTTTTTTTTTTTTTTTTTAAGGATGATCATTTTTGTCAAAATGACATATCCTTTATGAATCTGATTTGATTATAGAATAGAGGGACAAAGAATACATTACACATACTTGTCCAACTTTCCAGTCACTTGACGTTTATTTTTTATGTGCTGGGAAAGATTTAATACAACACTACACGTGTTTTCAGTGTCATTGTAAATTACTGTGGTAGAAAAGTGTCTTCTCAAAAGACACTGATTAAAAGTCTACCCATTGACATGGTTAACCCAAGCACCAAGGAATGCTTACTTATCCTACAAGAGACTGAATGATTTTTGTCTTGCAGTAAGCTTTCTATATTTAAAAGTAAGGTGTAGGCAATGGCAGGGTGCTTTTACAAAAGTGCAATCACTTCTTTCAAGAGAAATGAACAAAAACTGCATTTCTGATCCTAGAAACATTGACCAAAAGGATAAAGAAATGATCACATTAAACTCTTTGAAATGAGTAAAAGGAATACTGCTTTAGAGAAAGAAACCCATGTGGGTTTCTTTGATTGGGTTAGAATCAGAGAAAATTAACTCCTCCATTCCTTGAGGATTATATACACCCCGGGGGTAAGGTGAGTATAATTTGAAGACAAACAGGTCATTGTGGATTTCTTGGCAAGGATTAATGAACATTGAAAAAAAAAAAAAAAAAAAAAAACAATCTTCTGTGTGACAAATTACTAGGAAGAGAATTGCCTGTGTTACATGGAATAAGGTCTCTTTTTATCACCATTTTATGAATTAGATTTGTAGAAATGGGTAGACAAAACTTCTTGGGGTGTAACAATAGAATGATCAATCACTACTTAATTATTCCAGTAACAAAAGTAATTTATGTTAATTTAAAGCTTTTTTATCAAACTGCTTTTTACAGAAGGCAAAAATAGCCGATTTATTCCTGCTTGGGAACCAATTTTTTCCCTGTTACAAATTATACATGGGCTGGGGACCATGCATAACCAAAATAGAATATAAGGTACATCTTAGTCAATTATTTTCAAAACACATTTCAGATTTGCTTTTAAGTTATAAAATGAAGACCTTATTCCACCCATTGCAAATTAGTGGACAGAAAATTTATGGAAAGAATACTGGACTTTGATTAGTTCAATTTGCAGACATTTTCTTGTTAATCTGACAAGTTTTGTTCTCAAATCTAGGAAGAATGTAGTTTTGAAGTCATAACTTGGTTTTAAATTATTTGAACCCCTATCCACTGTAAACCATTTTGATATTTCAAACCCAAGTATAACTGTATAATTGTAACAATCTGTAGATTTAGTCCTTTTAATAGAATGAATTGAGTAATTTGAATAAATTGGTTATAGAGACATACTTTTGAAAATGAAAAATTATTTAACTAATATAACAATCAGAAATTTAAGCAGTGATGTCATGATGCGTGACTTAAAAAAAAAAAAAAAAAAATGCAAATTTTGGCCAGGCAAAAATGAGAAATTTAATCAAATATCTAAGGGCCTGCTCTTTCCATATTTACAGCATGGAGTCTGCGTGGGGTGAGGATAAAGAGGAATTTATTAGTGGCTTGTACACCCAAAATCTCCTCTGCTCCTTCCAAGGAGAGAACTTGTTGCTTAGCAATTGCCATCACTTGGCGACCGGTCTTGCGATTCCTTAATGGGGTGTTAATGGCTGCAGGTTGCCTGTAGATATACGTATGACGTGTGCAATCACAAACTGCTGCATAAGAAAAGTCTGGTGGGCATGCAGAATATTTCTTTTGCTGCTTAGAAGCCTGCACATACCCAAAGGCATTGAAAGTTGCAATGTGACGCCAGGGAGCAGTTGCAGCTTCACTGCTGTCCCCAGCACCTAGCTGCCATATTAACCCATCAACATCATGACGTAGACAGATGGCGAGTGATTTTTCTACATCAGTGAAAGTGTTGAACAGCCACTGATGACTTCCCAGGTAGGCCTGTAAAATAAATAAGTCTTTGTTCACTTTGCCATTTATCATTTTATACAACTTAAGGACAATGAAAGTAAAATGAAAAAAAAAAAAATATATATATATATATATATATATATATACTGTACTAAAATACCAAGTAATACTATTTTTATACATTTATTTTGGTGTAGTCAAAAATGAAAGTGGTTCATTCCATAAGATATCTATTGGGTCATAAATGACAGTGCATCCAAGCTCATCTGCTATCTTGCATTATAAATGAGAAACTCGGTGGACAGTGTCTTTTGTAGGTATCTCCATTAATTTGTCAAAAAAGAGCATACCATGATGAATAAGGCTCTAAACTTGAAAAAAAAAAAAAAAAAAAAAATTATCTAAATATTTATTATTAACAGGAATGGCTAAAAAAATTTCTTCCATCCTTTTTGGAACATTTGAAAGTTTAAGAATTTTGATTTTTTTGCATCAGCAGAACACCATTCAAAAGCATGTTTTACCTCAGTAAATCAATGTGTGGACAGAAGTGATATAATTTTCTCTTAAGTGAACTTATTTAACATCACAGTAATTTTTAAAAATTAATTTCACCATTTTTTTTTTTTTTTTTTTTTTAACTTTAGCTATATTTAAAGATGATTTCTGGAAAAATAAATTTAATTTCATAGCTACATATTTTTTACATACATCTCTTATGAAATTTTACGGTGTTTTTATATCTTAGTTGTGATGTTTTTTCATAACTAAATACCATAAATAAGATGCCTCATTTTTATAAAAAAATTTTTTTAAAATGCTAAAATGTTGGGGGTGGTCAAATTCAACCAGTGTTGAGCCGTTTATTGCCGTTCATGGAAACAACTTAAAACATGGCATTAAGGAGTCATGTGTACAGCCATCCATATTGGAAAAAAAGGTTTTTATGCATACTCAAATAATTGTTTAAAATTCTTTTTTAAAATGTGTGGAAGGGGTCATAGATTGTAATAACCTTTCAAATTTATGATCTGTAAAGATAGATCTAATTAATAGCAGCATTCACTCAATGGAACTGATTGAAAATTGTTTAAAATATAATTTTAAGATTTAAAATTGAAAAGAAAAAAAATTCATCATTGTCCTTAACATATATTATTCATAAAAGCTTTTCTAATTAAATGATGTCTTAGTCTTGGGTTTTGTGTGTTACAATTCAGAGCTGACTTTTGGTAACAAGGTGTTGATTTTACAAAAAAATAAATCAATTTATATTTAAAAGACTTGAGAAAGATCGGTGTTGAATTTTGAGTTTTTATATAATTAAATGGGTGGGGGCTAAAATATTTTAATTCATTTATGAATGATTTCTGGAAGTTTTTACTAAGATCTGCCAAAAAAATAAGATGCTAAATTTCCTCATAGTAATTTAGAATGGACTAGAAAAGATGAAAAAAAAAAAAAAAAATACTTTGATCTTTCAAGTTTTGGGCATTTTCACAGTATGCTTTTGGGGGGTTGAATTAGGGGAGATTTCTTATATATAAAATATATTCCCATCTTGATTTTTACTTTTTTTTTCTCAATGGATCTGGGGGTAGAATAAGAAATCCCACACAGACATTTAAAATGGAATTGAGATATCAAAGCCAGTTCAACCCAAACATGATGGATGACTACTGTTAGTTTCTGCAATGGAAGAATAGCTCAGCAGGTATCTCAATCAGTTCTGAAAATATCAGAAATAAAGTGAGTATTTTATGGCAATATTTGACCTTCATGCATGCAAAAAAAAAAAAAAACAACTGTTAAAAGGATCGTTTTTTCCCCTTGACACTGCTATTATCTTAACTACCTTCACTCTTGGGCAATGTTGATTGTTTTAAAAAGCCATGATTACAATTTTAATAAAACTGAAACACATAAGTAAATTTATACATGTTCTTTGTTCTTGAGAATTGATAAAAAAACACTACTTTTAAAAACAAACATTGCCAAGATGTGAAGATAGTTAAAACCAAATAATAGTGTCTTGAGAAAAACTTTTTAAGTTTTTTTTTTTTTTTTTGTGGGCAAGGTTAGAGATTGCCAATTTTTCTATTTATTTCAAATCATATACAATGCACATATCACAAAAACCTGATATGCTAGAACAACTCTGTTAGATTCAAAATCAGTAGCAAATAGATGCCTAAAGCTATAAAAAATATATTTAAATGTATCATTTGCCAATATAACCTGTGAAAAAAAGAAGAGGCCTAAAACAATTACCTGATGAGTTATATTGTGTGTGTCTCCTTCTATTCGTACAAGCATAGACTGCATATCAGGGTAGGCATCACAGTCTTCCAGTTCTTGGGCATTGTATGGTTTTTCTTTGTTTACTTCAGGATTGGCATTCTGAGTGAAGAAGCAAGAAATATCTTAGTTTTGAATCCAATTCATATATTTTTGTTTCTTAATTGGTTTGTTGACAGGAAAAAATATAGTCCCAATCCAGGTAACCTTTAGGGAAACTTTTTATTAATTAGATTGTTCTTCTTCCATTGACCATGTCTATAGATATCTCTTCTAGTTCTTTTAGTACTGCAAGGTTACTGCTTACCGTTTCAATAGAGTCCAAGTCTGCACTACTCATAGATTAAATAAAAAGTTCAGTTTGAAACTGAAGGTTACCCTGAGCAACAAGCACCTGATGAAGGCCAGTGGGCACAATAGTTGAAACATTGTGATGATAAACAGAAAGATGTGGACTAAAAGATGTTCACATGTAAATAATGATAATTTATCCCAGAAATCAGAGTCCCAAATGAAAGACAAGCCATGAACATTAAGCCAAAATTCCTCCCATATTGAACAATTTATTTTACACCTTACCATTTGCTTAGGAAATGACTTTACTTTCATGTGTAGTGACTATAAAATAATTTTGGGAAGATGTTTATTAGTGGGTTTTAATCATTTCACCCAGCACAGCAGTTTAGCCACTGATATACAAGGGGTTATTGAGTGTGAAAGAATTAGAAAACAGAAATGAACAAGAACAATAGAAGTGTAATCAGGAAGAGGGTAGATAATGATTGACATTGAATTTAGATTTTTTTAGATCCAAGTTGGATGAAAAGCATGAAGCCGGAAGAGTGTTCTACAAACAAGAAGTGTGAGAAAAGAAACTGTTAGCATATATATAGCCAATTCAACTAAATTAATGAGACTTTGTTGCTAATCTAGTATGGCACTTAAATTCATGAAGTCTAGGTACTATCATAATGAAGATCGCCTCCGAACAATTACTATGTAAGTATTTATAGAAAAGGCACAGGGAAGCTACATCATGAGGGTGGAAAAGTGACTAATGCCAATAATATTTGTGATTCTTCTTTGGATTTTATTGAGAATTCTATTCAGAAATATTCAATGTGGTTACTGATGAAAATAAAATGTCAAAAGCACTAGCCTAAGAATTTATATATCTTAAACATCTTTGTGGTAGAGTGGGAAGCTTCATTACTGATGTTTATTCCTGGTGTCACTGGGAGGCTTCCAAACCCCCCACCCCCCTCCATCAGGAGTGATTATCTCCCAACCTCTCTTAAATAATCCACAAATTTTAGTTTGTGTCATTTATTGGTTATTCTTTTTGGATTAAGAAATAGAAATAGCAAAAGTAAACATTATTTTCCTGTTTTTAAATGAAGTTGTGTTTTTTTTTGTTTTTTTTTTTTGACCTTTTTAAAGTGAAAAATTCCAAAGTTGTTTTATCAACAACCTTCCGTTGATTAGCTTTATACAAAGTGGGTACTGAAAAATTGCTCAGCACAACCAAAAAGCCCTAAAAAAAACTAATTGGTCATATTTTGTAAAATGGGTTAAGCTGAGAACTTTTCAACACCACCATATATATAAGGGGAAAGTCCAAAATTATCCGTACTCTTGTCTAAACATGTTACAGCAAAAGTATGGACAGTTTTTGACTTACCCTTATTTGTGTGTGTGTGGATATATATCTCCAAATACAGGATTGGTGTAGATGGAATAAAATTTCAATAACCAAAACCACTATTTTTAAAAACCTGCTCAATACAAAGAGCAAATAACATTTATTCAAAAATTTTAAAATAAGCATGTTATAACATCACTACAAAAATTTTGTTTCAACACTTCTTAAGTGATGGTGTATGCCGTCACTTGGCAAGACACCAGTTGAAACAAAATGGCTATTTTTGTAGTGATGTTATAATTTTTGAATAAATTTATATATATATATATATATATATATATATATAAAAATGCCTCTGCATGTTTAATTTTGATGTTGAGAATCAAACCCAGTCCTTCCTTTTCATTACAAAATTGAGAAAATTATCTTACTCATTATACACTATGTTATTACTACAATGCTGCAAGTCCGATGGCTGTGTTTGAGTGTTGGGAATATATATGAATAATGTAGGGATTTGTCATTTTTAGCCATCCATTCTTTACCTCATAAATTTAAAGCTAACTCAAGATCCCTTTCACATCTGTATAATTTTTGTAACCTAAGCAATATATAGAAAACAAGAAAAGCATAAAGTATAATTAACAAAATCAATTTGTGTGAAAAGTAAAAAAAAAAAAAAATAAAGTTGACTTACCCATTGTTCAGCTGTGAGATGTTCTAGTCTTTGATGAATTTCAGCCACTTGCTCCTCACTCATTACCATTTCTCCTTTTGTGTTGCCAATGATGACCAATGGCCACATGTTTGGTTCCTTTTTATGAAGATGGACTTTCAATCTGGATGATAGAAAAATCTCATGACAAACTTCCTTCCTTTTATGAAGGGTGTTATTCATTACTATGGAGTAATGGTATAATCAATTTTTTTCTTAAAAACATGTCTTATTTATGAGAGAGAGCCTTTCAATAAGTAGAATTTGCCTTGATTCTGGTATAAAAAAAAAAACCATGTTTTATTGAAGTATGTCTTATGAGGCTTAGCAACACCAAAAAATTTTAGTTTTATCTGAAAATTAAGATTTATTTATTATTTCCCCCACTACATTCAGTGGGCTCTAAATGATGTTGCCAATGAAGTGTTAGTTTTTTTTTTTGTTATTGCCAGAAGATAAAGCCTTTGAGGTCTGGTGTTCAAAGTGGCAACGCACTTGAGAGAAGGGGAAGAAAACAGTAAACATATAAATGAAAATGTGGAGTAAAGTGACACTTGGTTGAAAGTCAGAATTTTGGGTCTGTGGCCTCATATAAGTGGATTCATGGTTAGAGAAAAGAACCATTCATCCAAACAGTTTAACTGGTAGCAATCACTCACCAAATGTAAGAAGAGGCAAAAAAGATATATGTGCCACCTACCAGAGAGAATTGGAACCCCAGTCAAATAAACAAAATTTTTTTTTGTGAATTTGATTTCATCTTCCATCCCTTGGGAACATGCAGCTAGTCTTTGTAAACAACGGATGTGAACAAGAAATGAAACACAATATGGGGAAGGATTTGTGAAAAACTGAGGCAAGGGCCTTGTTGTCAAAAAACAACTTTCTAGTAGAACTAGAATTAAAGTTATAAATATTTAAAACTAGAAAATGAAATTGAAATATGAACTTGTTGAAAAGCTAGAGAACTAGTGAATATTTGTCAAAAGAAACACATTCATAACATAAGAAATTGCCAAACTTCTAAAACTTGAATTTTGTATGATTTTTTATTTTTTGTTCTATATAAAACAATTATGTTGTTTCTAATATTTTTAAATCTAAAGTTTTACATTTTAATTACACACAAGGTTTTTTTTTTTTTTTTGTAATCAATTCACCCCCAAGCAAAGCAACAATTCTACTAAGATGGAAGGGGCTACTGGTAGTGAAGGTTAATGAAAGTATTTTAGAAGAAATCAGAAATCCAGTCCTAAACAGGGAACAAAGGATAAACCTCTACTCAAAAGACTGGGTGATATGTTCGCCTATCTACTCGTTTTTTGAGAAGCAAAAAAAAATAATAAAATTTCAAATGGAGATTTTAGAAGTATACAGTTGAAGTAGACTTTAGAAGGAACTGTAAATCCAATCTTAAAGAGGAAATAAGGGATAAATCTCTTCTCCTGTTCAAAAGACCAGAGACGAATGTGAACTGAGATAATTAAATCGTTTATGGCAAATTGATTCTTATATAAAAGTCATATCTGGAAAAAAATCTCTAAATAATTTTCATAGCATTTTAACAGCTTTAGGTTCTATTTACAAACTTTTAAAGTATATTGGTTCTTATTTGCCAATGCTATGGAATACACACATAACATTATCAAAGCCCTTTTGTTATTAAATTTCCAGCAAAGTTTAACCTTTGTGCCCATATAAAAAGTGTATCAAAAGAACAGGTTTTCCCTTAACACAGCTTTTATTTTATTCTACCTTCACTCCCTCAGCAATGTTTGTTTTAAAAAGGAAATGATTAGAATTTTAATAAAACCAAAACATGAAAGTGAATTTATACATTTTCTTTGTTCTTCAGAATTTACAACAAAATTATTAAACACTATCAGTGCGTATTTGCAAGATTAATTTACGACATTCTAAAAATGCAAACCAACTAGTGCAATCCAATATTTATCATTTACTAATTTATAAAGAAATATGAAAACAATTATTTAGCCATAAATTTATAAAAAATGACTAAATTATAAAAATATGTGAACTATAATGAAATCTTTATTATTTACCATTATTATAGATATTTTTATAAAATTATAAATAAAAAGCTTTTTCATAGATATTTAGTTATACAATGGTAAATAATAAATATCACATTGTACCAGGTTCACATATTTTTATAATCTTGTAAATAAACATTACCAAAAGAGAGAAGTTAGTACAAAATAGTAGCAGTGTCAAAGTGTGTGTGTGTGGGGGGGGTTACTTTTGACATCTTTTTTTTCTTTTAACAATGATTTTCACGCTGTACAAGACACAAGAGCCACTCAAAGTAGAGAGTTACAAAGTAAGAGGCACCACCCCAAGCAAGAAAATAATGCAATCAAGACGCAAGGGGCCACCGGAAGTGAAAGAAAAGGTTTTAGGATGCACCTGAAACTCATTCCTAAACAAGAAACAAGGGATAAACCTCTACTCTTATTCAAAAGACTGAGAAGTGTGGACCAGACAATAGATGGACATATCTACTTCTATGAAGAAAAGAAAAAGTAAATCAATGGTAAATAAGAGTCCAGAGTATTAGGAAGTCATTAAAAATATAGAGTTGAAGTAGACTTTAGAAGGAATTGGAAATCCAATCCTAAACAGGAAACAAGAAATAAGCCTCTACTTCTGTTCAAAAGACAAAGGAGGAGTGTGAACCTATCTACTCTTATTATTTGTAGACACAAAGGTTAACCATTGCCAAATTCTCTATTTATAACAAAAGCAACTGCTTATAGAAATAAAACTGGATTTAATTGAACGGTTTTTCTAGTTACTGAAAACTAGGAAAGACACACACTTTTAACTTCAGTTATGAGCCATACATGCTTAGGTGATCATGTATCTTTCAATACATGACTGACGAGGCAGATTTTTTCCCCCCACAGTACTTTGCCATTTGTTTCTGCAGTAGATCAGTTACCATCCAAGACTATAGAACCCAGTCTGTCCTGCTATTTACCCATACCTGGGGGGAGGGGGAGAAATGGATTCATACCTTTCCTAAGGGTCACGCAAGTGAATCTAATGGATTCAAGTGGAATTCTAACATGGCTGTCCAATTCCTCAATTCAATCCGCTATCCATTACTCCACTATAAGGCTTACTTTGACATTCTGATATATTGGCTTTTACTGACACTGTCAAAAAGAAAAAAAATTTAAACTTGTCACTCTTACTCTATAAGCTAGGCAATAGTAACAATGGCTGTTATATCATTTGTCAGTTATGATGAACAGATACCATCCATCAAACTATAAATGCTTGTCCCTTCCTAATAAAACAGAATTACTTACTTGTTGGTTTCTATGGTCCATGTGCTTGATTCTACTTCCACACCAGCATGCAGGTCCCCAGAAAGTAGAACCTGTCCATTCTTTATTCCAACATCCATGTAGTGTTGATGAAGTGTCATGTATATATCCTCTTTGGCGGTACCTTCTGGCAGGGTGAAGTTCACAGAGACAGAGTCTGTAGTCTGTAACCATGTGTACTCAGGCAGAACACTTGAATCTTAAACACAGACACACATTTATCTCCCTTGGAAATTTCATTAAAATTATACATTGACGAATTTATTTTCAATTAAAACAAAGAGCTCTGGTTTAACAGGTTAAAGTAATTTTTATCCATTTTATTTTTTAATATTTATTTATTTTATTTTTTTCAATTAAAATATTCTATTGTCAATAAATTTGAGAAGAGCCTCTGAGATAAAGTCCAAATAACCCTCAGAGCTGGAAAAGTGAGGATGTCGAAGGAGGTTAAAAAAATTGAAAAACTATTCAGTGAGTCAAATTTAAGCCTAACTAACAATCGTACATGGTTACAGAAGGGTGGCTGGCAAGACTTAATATAAATAGATCTTAACACTTTCAGAGTCTATTGACATTAAGCTGAGCGAGCCTTCCTCAGTAGATCTTGTAACTAAGATTTTATGAAGATTTATTTTCCTCAAAGTTGTGTGTAAATTTTAGGACCAATATTCTCAAATTAAAATAATTTAACCCTCTTTAAATTATTTCTAGTGAAGACAGGAATATTTCCATGAAGAAAATTATGTTAATTATTTTCAAGTTATACATTTTTATATCAAGAGCAGTATTTTCATAACCAAAATAGAGCAATATCACAAAATACCTGGAGTTTTTTTTTTTTTAAGGCTTGTTACTCAGAAGATATCAGAATGCAACTTACCTTGACCATCTGAAGGCTGGTCATGATTTTCTGAGTCGGCAACTGGACAGGCTGAGTCATAGATTAAATTGAAAGCTCTTTCACCAGCCACGTAAAGAGCTTCACCATTCCTCTCAAATGAACAGCAGTCAGCTGAACGGGAGCTGCGCAGACGCCTTGTTCGGCTCACAGACCAAATTTTTTTATCCTCTGCAGAGGACAGAAAGCATAAAAACAAATTTTCAAATAAATTACCTGACAAGCAATACTATTATGAGTACAGTTAACAACTTGTAATTCATTGATTTCTCTCTGTATTTACACTATATTCAGACTGTTCTCATCTTTATTGTTGTTATTGCAATGTTTTGGGCCGTTGTGCCTTCTAGCCTTCCACAAATATATACCGATCTGGCTAATTTACAGGGAATTCTGAACTGAACACTTGGGTTTTCTATGAGTTGGGGGAAAAGGATAACATCATTAGTATGCATTTATCAATGATATAAGCACAGTTTCAAACTTGACATACTCAAGGATCAATTTGATGCTGTATTTGTATTACGAGCAGAACCCCCTAACTCTTAAAGTGATAAAAAATTATTTTTTCATTCTGACAAATGTTGCTTAACCATTATTACTCTGTATGCGACTTCATTTGCTGTAGAAAAAGTTTATCTTGCCACTGAAGGTGACTGATCCCTGAACAATAGTGTGCTTGAATTTTATAGTTGTCATATCCTATTGCAACAGAAAACAATTTTGAGTTAAATAAACAATAAGGATACTGCAATTGAAAGGACTTGAAAAAGAATGCAGTAGAAAAGGAAGTAATATTAATAATGCAGTGTGCTAAAGATTAACGAAGGTGTAATGACTGCAAATCTACAAAAACTATTACACCAACTCCTAAAATTTTCTTTATTTGTTATGAGCGGACCATTCAATTTAAGTAGTGCATTGTATCACTCTTAAAGTGATAAAAAATTATTTTTTCATTCTGACAAATGTTGCTTAACCATTATTACTTTGTATGCGACTTCATTTGCTGTAGAAAAAGTTTATCTTGCCATGTAAGGAGAGGCCATTGTATTCACAGATCCATTTGAATATCATGTGTAAATCAAAAAGAAAATAATTACTTAATCAATATGTTGACATTCCACACTACTTCAAACAAAAGGTTAGGAAGTAAACCCTCTTCAGTATTGGAAAGAATGATAACAGTTACTGGACTTGAGAAATCTATTTTCCAGAAAAACTGTTCTAAGAGAAAGATTTTATAAATTTCAGCTGAAATACTTGGTTAATGAATGCCAAATGTTTTCTCATAAGAAAATAGATAATATTACCATTAGAGATTAGATGAGCAGTTAATACACTTTGATCCCAGATTGGTGGCTAGGGAATGAAAAAAAGTATAATTTAAGTAGCACTGGCTGTTCAGTCAATGAATGCCAAATGTTTCCACATAAGTAAACAGCTAATATTACTATTACCATTCATAAACCTGCTGACAAAAAAAAGAAAAAAAAAGGTATATTCTAACCCACTCTCCAAGACTGGAGAATATAAAAACTTACAACAAATTCTTTAAGTATTCTTAAAAGCTTACTTCAAAATAGAGTTTTTCCTCATCCAAGAAATATTTCCAACAAATATTTTTGATTAAATGAAGCCAAAAGAGAAAGCAAATGCTTACGTGAAGTTAGGCTAAGCCATTCAAGGACAGTCATAAAAGTTGCACTTGACTTGTCTTTCATTTCTTCATCTGCTTCATCCACATGTAACAAGAGACATTCAGTATGATGTCCTTCATTATCTGAATGCATAACGGCATCACAAAGCACAAAGGAACCTCGATTCTCACCCAGCACATCAGACTTAGAGAATCGTACCTGGTAGAAATAAAAATGAAAGATTCTAAATATTCTAATTATTTGTTTATAGAAATATCTAAGCCCATATCAAATGTTTATCTGAAGGTTTCATATAAGATTAGCCATTTCTGTATAAGTAAAATAAATTCATAGCAGTAAGAGTCAGCATTATTATTCTATTTGAGCTTTTGAATTTTTCTTGAAAATGAAAAAAATCGTAAAGAATTGGGAATCCATTAATACATTGAATAAAGACACAAAGCTAAATTTCTTCTTTTGAAAAGCATATACATATGCACACACCCACATTGTATATTTTATATATATATATATATATACATACATACACACACGTGCGCGCACAAACAAACAGAAAATGGCTGTTAACTCATTGTTGATTAAGTATGACCATCACTGACAAGTTTGATCAATATTTTTGGCTCTTGTGAGAATGACAATAGCTCTTGTGAGAATGACAATAGCTCTTGAAGCCTGCATGCTGATTTGTAATGCTTATTGCAAATGTGGCAAACGATCGTTGTAATGTACAGGGCCTAGCCTGTTTTGTTCAGCTTGCTTGTGGATCTTCATGTCATGAGTGATCCCAGGGTGGTTTCTGCAGGTTTGCTAAAACACCACCCTGCATATTAACTTATTTCTGGCATAACATTGATCATAACAGTCTACCAATATGACACTTTTTTTGTGGCTAACAAGCATTTGAGAGATATACTCTTCCACATTCATTGCATTTAAATAGATAAACAGCTGAATCAATGATTCCCTCTTTCTTAGTTGCATGCGTGACATTTGCCCAACTCTTTGGATATACTTGCAAGAATCAGTACCCTCATGAATTATACACCTGCACCTATTTTGATCATAAACACCAGTTTCCTACTTGGGAACATCTATATAGCAGGGTCTAGGGTTAGAGCATTTGTTTGGATATTCTGCTGTCAACAAAGTGAATGACATGGCTTGCCCAGCAAAGCCCGTGGCTATGAATCTGCACTTCAATGCTGATTACATTGGCTTGTTTGAGGAACAGTGTCTGGTGTGTACGATATCCAATGGATATCAAGAATCAATCTTAATTATTGTTGGTGGAATCTCTCCAGAGTATCCGTGTCAGTGGTACACAACACAGGAATACAACAGGCATATATATATATATATATATATATATATATATATTAAAGACAACAGACATTGTCCTCAGATAAGGAGGACACTGTGAGAAAATTTCCAAAGTTGTCTATTTTGGAAGAAATATGATCCAAGCTTTTGATTTAAGTTTATCATCAGGTTAGGTAAGATTTTTCATAATTTGGAAAACTTGATCAATAAAATTAAATCGACACAAAATGTTTGTTGTCCTTAGTAACATTTGCTGTCTAAATACACACACATATATATATATATATATATATATATATATATACACACACAAACAGTTCACCTGATAAAACTGTAGAATGGATTGTTCAAAAGTCATAGCTAACAAGGAAAGCAACACAGAATCGTGTGAAAAACTCAAAAATATGCATTAAAATCCCCAAAGTTTATATCATGATAAAAAGTTTACATAGAATTTAACTTCTAGGAAATCAAAGATGTTACAAGGATTACCTACCTGCCAATTAGAGTGGCCAGCTCGAGCACCAAAACGAGGCCCAGTTTCCACAAGATGAAGCGTTCCTGCTCCATCTGCAATAACAGCCCAATCAGGTGCAGGAAAACTCATACTGACATTGTGTCTTCCTGGCACCAGTCGCAAGTTACTCGGGTTCAAGACTTGAAATGGAGAGTGGACATTTACCAATCGAGGTTGGATTCCATCCTGCTGAGTACAAACAAAAAAAAAATATATTAAAAATCATCATCTGTCCCATAACAGAGTGTGGCCATAGGGTTGCTGCATAGCTGAGAACCTAACCAATTCAGTCCATCTATCTTATTTAAAAGGTGGAGAGGGATTCATTCATGTGTTGCATATCTTGGGCAAGTAGATCTTGTGGAGTTAATCTATTTCCAGGTTCAACTACAACTGATGTCCTACACAAAGGGCCAGTGCAAGGGTTTCATGCTCCCCTAATATATAATATGAAGATCCCTCTAAATCTCAATTTTCATGGGGTAGTATTCATATAAAATACAAAATTTTATTGTAACCTAATTTATGTACAATAATGGATCATAAGCAATATAGGTGAACAATTCAATTAGAAAAATTTGAAAATAAATACAATGTATCTAAATACAAATTAAAGACATTTCATAATAGATCATTACATCTTAAATAAATCAATAATGTTTTGCAGCAATTTTTAACATCAACCTGAACCCTTTATTTAATTCATGGGTACTTATGTGTTTCACTCCCACTTTAAACTTGGGCTTGTGCTGTATTCTGTTTGAATGGGTAAACAGATGAATCTCAAAACTCATAGTCCCATTTTGTATTCCATTTCAATGGAACAGCTGCGATCATAGACAGTCTGAGTGGCAAGAAATTATTTGATCTTTCTCTGCCATTATGGTGTTGGGATATCTTCTACCTCACAAAACAACTGCACAACTGTTTCTTGGCACTTGAAAGCAATTGGAAAAGTAAAGAAACTGGATAGGTTTGTTCCACATGAACTGAATGAGATTCAAAAAAAATATTGCTTTGAGGTGTGCTCGCTGTTGCTTTCCTGACTGGAGAAAGAACCATTTTTGCATTGAATCATTACATGACAACAGTAAAAGTGTAGGCCAGGGTTAGATGCAAGTGAATCACCAAAGACAATATCCAAAACCTCTACTGTACCCTAGAAACCTAATGGTCACTGTATGGTGGTTATTTATTATTCATTCTTGCCTCAAGGGAAAACAATAACAGCAACTTCATATTGTGGAAAAATTGAGTGTATGCACAAAAAAAAAAAAAAAAAAATCCTAGATTTGTGAATAGGGTTGGCACAATTTTGCTGCATGACAATGCACAAAGTAAGTTTGATTATTCAGTAGAAATTAGTTTTTTTTTCTTCATTATTGTGTAACTTCTCTAGAGGTTACATGCTGTTAAGAGAGACCAAAATATAATTTTACGCAGTTGTTCTGCCATCAAAAGACTAATCTCATCAACCTATATGAATGCTATAGTTGCACAACATAACAATTTTCTCATGTATATTAAAAATAAATTTAAATTACTAGAGGAAAAAGACATTACAGTATCTTTACTTGTAAATGAAATTCACCTAAAACATTATTTTGATTATACAGGTGGTAATGTTGCTGGCTTATCTGACAACAGCAATGAGTCTGCAACAAGTGCTTTTGCTTTTATGCTTAGCAGTGTATTTTCACAATACAAGAATGTTGTACATATTATGCCAACTAAATGTCTTAAAGCTAAGAATTTATTTGATATAGTTTAACATGTAATAATTGGTCTAGAAGAGATAGGCTTTAGAGTAATATCAGTCATAACAGATGCAATAAATATGAAAGCTATATCTTTCTTTTGTAGTTCTGCAAAACTTTCAATTGTATATCCACATCCAGTTACAAAATCTAGACCCATTTTCTTCATATTTGATTCAGTTCATATACTAAAATGCATAAACAACTGGCTTGGTCAAAAAGATGCAAGTAAATGCATCATGTTCCCCAAATTTTGTCATAATGGAAATCATGATTTAGATAATATCCAAAGTGCCCCATGTTGTACTTTGCAAAAACCTTATGTCTTGGAATCTCAGTCAATTTTGAAATATTGCTATAAATTGATTTCAAAGGCTCTTTCTCCCACTAGTTTGGAAAGACAAAATATTTCATTAATTTTGCAAATTTTTAACCAATTCACTTTTCAAAGATTGCTGACCTTAGGGAAACAGAAATGTTTGTCTAACTTTGCAGAAGTTTCAGAATACATAAACATATTTTATACTTGGTAGACAATACTGAATGTAAAAACACCATATAAAGGTTGGCAGATTAACAATAAATATGCTAACCCACTTAAAGTAAATGATAGTTATATATTTCTCAATGTATTCTGCAACTGTTTAGAATCTTGGAATAGCATTCCTGGAAATAATGGGAAGCTAACAAATGAAACTTTCACAACTTTGCATCATACCGCTCATGCAATTCTAGAACTGACCAAATATTGCACAGAAGAATTTAAAATGATATATGTATTACCTGGTAAATTTCAAACAGATCACCTTGAGGATAGATTTGGCCAGTACTAGCAACTTGGTGTTGATCAATATAATATCTCTAAATGTTAAGTGTTTGAGAGTGAAGAAAAAATCAGAATGATGTCAGTTTTAAAATTGTTCCTGCCACTTAATAATCAAAGTATTGATTTGAAGAATTTACAAACTAACTGGAATGAAGCAAAATTTAGATATTTATAAATTTAACAGATGTAATATGAGGATGTTAATGAATGCAGTGAAGTTGTTCCTGTTATATGTAGCAGGTTATTGCTGTTGTGCAGTTTTTAAGAAAATGAAATGCAACAGTTGTAAGAATTTAGTATCTGGAAGTGACAATGAGAACAAAATAGCTGAAATAAACAGCCATTTTCAGGGGATTAATAGAGGTTCTCTGCTATATCCTAATGATACTACTACAAATGCAGTTCTCATATAATTATATAGTTATTAGTAAATTAGCAAAAAGTTGTTCTTTTCTTCATTCAGTAAATCAAAGTAAATTAGCCATGCACAAAACCTTGAATGTTTTGGCAGATAATGATCATCTTTTTCATGTGGACTCTTGTGGTGAGTCACAGTATTGAAAATTAGAAGGAATGCTTGTCTGGAGCTCTTCAAATGTTCTTTGGAATAATTTTTGGGCATTACTAGAAACAAATAGTTTTCAAATAATTTTACACAATCAAAATAAGGAGAAGGAATTTTACAGTCTTTAAATTCAATAATGAAACATACATTATTTATTTTAATATAACAACAAGTGTAAAACTTTAAATAATTTCCTTTTAGAAAATAAAGTTTATTCTAAGGTAAAAAGTGAAGCTTGGTTTCTTTCATTTCTGATGTAATTGGAATATAAAAAAATATTCTCTGTCAATATATAGAAACTTTATGGAATAATCATTAAAATAAGAACGGATTTTTAGTCTATTTATTGTTTGTTCTTTCTTTATTTAAAGATGTAAGGTAGAAATAATAATAATAATAATAAAAATTACTTCATGAAAAAAATAAAAACATGACATTAATCCTGATTTGCTTTTCTTCGTCTAATGAAAAATTGCCAATTTCAATTATCAGTATCATAATTTAACAGAATAAAACGTTTTTATAATATTGTTTGCTCGTTTTTCTTTATTTTTATAAATTAATATTAAATAAAGTTCTAACATGAAATTCGAATCCTGGTTTCTTTTTTTTTAAAATTGTAATTTAAAAAGTATTCCATACTTAAAAAAAAAACCTACAATCATTCATTTTCAGCAGGTTCGCTTTGATTTATACTACTTGTAGTGTCATCATGTTTAATTGAACAGGTCTTTTGTCTAGGTGGTATTGCTTATGGCCATATCATGTTGAAACACTAGTTCCTCTACAAACACCGAAGTTAAGAAACATCAAGCCTGGTCAGTACCTAGATGGGTAACCATTTGTGAATACAAAGTGCTGTAAGCTTAGACATACTGGCGGTGTAAAGGATAATGGTTTGGAACTGTTAATCAGAGAGCAGAGTTCCTATTTCAGATGGCTTTGTTATAATCACATGTGTAAATACTCTTGGGAAAGGTATGAATCCACTTCTCCCCCCAGCTACGGGCTAATTAGTAAGTCTTATATTAGTAAATTATAATAAAAAAAAAGAAGAAAATTTTTACAATCTAAAAATATTTTCTGGTTTTAAATAACCTGCAATGGATTGATAAACCGTAAAAAATAAATCTATCAAATCAATTACCATGGTAAGTTCCACACACCGTACATTCCAGTCTTTATCAATAAAGTAGATTACATAACATCCAGTCTGGACTGCCCATTGGTCAATTAGTAGATGATTATGGCATCCAAATGCTTTGATGTGTTGGTAGGAATATTGCTTGTCTGTCAGGGAAGCAATGTCCAAATCTACAAAAACCAAGACAATGTTAAATTAAAAACAATAGATATGAATGCATACATACACAAATTTTAAATAGTTTGTTTTTTTGTTACATTTTTTTGTTTGTGCCCACTATTTATGATTTCAGGTTTCATTATATTGAAAGGTTTTGGTTTGGTTTATTTTATGGCATATCAACCACTGGGTTATTTAATGCCGACAAGACTTTTATTGCTGTTAATTTTTTTTTTTTTCAAAAATGTATTGCTAGTAATATATTTTTTTCAAATATGTATTGCCGGTAATATTTTTTTTTTGTTTTTCAAAAATGTATTGCTGGTAATGTTTTTTTTTGTTTTTCAAATATGTATTGCTGGTAATATTTTTTTTTCAAATAGGTATTGCTGTAACATTTACAAAAATGTATTGCTGGTATTAAATCTATATTTACACTTTCATAATGTTTTGACCCCAGTTTGGGGTTAACTATTTGCCCATAGTTGGGACCCTAACAGCTGCTACCACCTCGGGTCAAAGTGGACCAGGGAACACCAGCAATTGAGGTGGTTCCACACTCCTCAAAACCTGATCAGAGGCTTGCTGTTGGATGTAGTTAATCATCTCACCTAGGATGTGGTTGTAGTTAATCATCTTACCTAGGATGTGGATGTAGTTATGTGTACCTCAGTCAGTTATGCATATTTTTTCATACCCACCCACAGGTATTTTATTAGTCCTGAGGCACTAGGTAATTTAAATGACCATATATGGCACAGGCAATTTTGTGCTTCTTTTGTTGGCCATGTCTATTACATTTCCCCCTGATCTCATGATCAGATAGATAGCAACCGAGGGGAGGTCTCCCATGTCTGGTACTTCTCTGAAGTGTTGGTACAACAGATTCCCTTGCCTCTTCAATAGTTTCTGCTATGACCCACTGATCCTCTTTGCCATTTCCCTCAAGTAGTGGGTGACCCTGTGGAGGTTGAGGTCACCACATCAAGTGATGATGGAATGTCTCTACCAATGATGAATAATGAGGACAACCATTCGACTGATATTGACTAATCAATCAAGTGGAGGTGAACTAATGTATAAAACACTATATTTTGAGGGGATTCCATATACAGTAAAGGTGAAAGTAATATTTATAAATGATGCAAAGTGCTAAATGTTAATTATTCCCTTAAAGCCTGTGGTAGATTTTTTTTTTTGATTATTTTTAATCATTTTACCGCAAGTAAGACAATACAGCTACTAAGATGCAAAGGGGTTACTGAGTGTGAAAGAATGAGTAAAAAAAAAAACACTTATGGAGAGAGAACAATACAAAAACGGGAATTAAGAAGACAACAAATGACATTACATTTAAATTTTTGAAGATCAAAGTTGACTGGGAAGCTGGTAGAAAAACTCAATAGAAGAAACGGTTTTAGCATAGAACTTACAGTTACATCTATTTCAACTGTAAGATGCCTTTGGAAAAAGCATGAATCTCTTTTCTCCCAACTCAGCTATATAACAGAGTAAACTGGACTCTAGCAACCAGTCTAAGAGAAGGAATTCCAAACAGTGCCGAAAGCAACAAGAAACTAGTGTAACCCGGATATAAGAGAGTTGTCGGGACCGGAGACGAAGTCTCTTATATCCGGGTTTGGTCTTTTAGTTTAAGTATGGGCTCTAATTTGGGACCAGAGAAAATCTCTCTTATATCCGGGTTACACTGTACTTGAGTATCTTTCTCAAGAATACAGGTTAAGATAATAAAGAAAAGGAATTTGTAGAGAGACATGACTATCTTCTGAAGGGACATGGTATTATTTAGGCAAAAATTAAAAGGTATTATTGTATTAACCATGTTTAAAAATGACTGCTGTTTTATTCGTTTTCCTACATGACCCTGGGCACATTAAATCAAACCAATTTTTTGTCTATTACTTATAGTGAAAAACAAATGAATGTTTATTTTCAAATATAACTGATGACTTTTGTTGTTAAGTAGTAACATGTGTTAAACTACTAATTAATAATTATTTAATTTAAGATACACTAAGCTAAAAATTAATATTTTTCTATGTATGTATATTTTCCCATATAGTTCTTTATGAAAACTCGCTCATTTCCAAGAAATTTAATGTTTTTAAAGTAGAAGCGATCAAAGTGGCTCTGTAAAGTGAGAGTTCTTTAAGGTACTTGGGCTCAATGGGATGACATCAAATATTCAACTTAATTTGTGTTAGTCTTTCTTTACTCTTTATGAAAATATTTAATTTTGAAGTATGGAAGTCTAAAAAAAAAAAGTTTATTTTATTGAGTTAAAAAATAACCTAGGGTTTTTTTTTGTGTGTGAAACCATAAATTGAGTTCCTAGGTGCAGAGTAAAGAAAATGGAACTTTACTTTATCATTTTATCTTAGTTTTCCGAACTTTAAATTTATGGACGATACAGACTTTTATTTTTTAAATCGCTCTTTGCATGAAAACGGACACAAAGTAAGGGTGGTATTTTTTAAAAATTTAAAATAACTTGCCCAAAGAAATGAAAATCACATTCACGTCAAAAAATACAAAAATAAACGTTTTTTCTTTTTTGTTTAATCGAATTTTGGATATTGTTAATTTTAGCGTTTCAAACGTTTTTTTTTTGTTTTGTTTTTTTACATAAGCTGAATGATCTCCCTTACCATTCTAGATATGGCCGACTTTTGACATTTTATTTTTAGTTTCAAATTCTGAAACTTTACTGGTCTCAAATGTTGAATAAAATTTCAGTACGTACTTCTTACGGAAATAATTGAATTTCGAACGTTATTTTTCAATTTACTTTTGTTGCATAATTTTGTTCCCACGATATAAGGGAAATAAATCAGTTTATGTAAAAACAAAAACAAAAAAAACGTTTGAAACGTTAAAATCAACTATCTGAATAGCTATACAAATTGAAATATATCAGTGCATTTTTTGTTTACGTTTACGGAAATGGCATCAGTTTGTAATAGAAACTAAGAAAAGTAATTCATTTTAACTGTATTTTACTTTGTTTATCATAATTGCATTTTATTTTTTTTACGTTATTTTTATGCACTCAGAATATGAAACTAGTTTTATTTGTTTTGTTTTTAAAGAGGAGAATTTAAAAGAAATTTGTATGCAAAAAAAGTAAAACGTTAAGAAGACTCGCCTTTAATTCAGAATAAATCAAGCAAGCAAGGGAGATAACTCCAAATTTGATGGAATTTTATTTTTAGACTTCCACGTGCCCAAGAAGACACAACAATGCAACTAATTAATATTTTTTTAGAGCTTTCAGAACTTAAATCGATTATATAAATTTCTTTGTGGTTCATATTTTAAAGTCAAGCTCTCTTTGACAATGATCAGATTTTACAAGAAATAGTTTTAGTAATATCTACGAGAATCTTTTTAGACATTTTTATTTTAAAGGACAAGTAAAAATAAATTGTTCAGAAAAAAGAGAAACAAAATAAACGATGGATAAATAAATGTATGTTTTCATATATTACATTTTTTACTTCAAAGTATATAACACTTGATGTATTTTATGTCGTAAAAGATAATAAAAATTACTTCATGAAAAAAATAAAAACATGACATTAATTTTTAAATTTTTCTTTTTTTTAACTATTTTAAGTAATGAAAAAATACGGTTAACAGTGAAAATACGATATCAATACACGTGACAAGTTTGTTGATAAAAGATTTACCGTTGACTAAGTCAGACTTGTAAGTCGGTAATGGTTCCAAAGACAGCTTGTAACCATCAAAAGAAGGATCCAGAAGATCCGACTGAACTTTTAAGTCGGCAACGTGCATATCAGCCGCCATGTTGATTATTTGTGTGGCAATTGTTATGGGAAATAACTCTTGATTTTTTTTTCGATTAGTTTTCTCACTCTCTCTTTCGACAATAAAGGTATTCAAATAATTTATCTGTTCATTAAGAATAATACACTTCAAATTTGTAGTACAAAAAAGAAATGTTATGTTCCCAGGAATCTTAAGTTAGGGAAAATCATCATCAGTCCCACGATTGTTATTTATTGTGTTTTTGATGCACAATTGCGGCACAAGGCCCAAAAAAAGGGGAGGTGTTAAGGCTAACTATCTTATACTTAGCTAATCTGATTCATGGCCCATTCACTCATTACAATTTGCCCATTCACCACAAAACTCGTCTGTCACCAATCAATCCTCTATGCACCATAATACCGTATTTTCTCAAGGGGGTCCAACAAAATGCACCTCATCCCATAAAAATATAATGATTATATATATGTACTTAAAAATTTATGGGTGAATAAAAATAAGAGGGGAGAGAGATGAATTCAATAACAAACTAAAATATTAACACAAAACAAACTAAATATAACTGATATTAGTAGGGCCCATCCAACCCTCAAAAAAAGAGAGGCCACTGTATTTTGCCCATTGGACAAAATCAAGAGGCTCTTTCGCTAAGGGAGTGGGAAAAGAGAAAAATATATGGACATGGGAAATAAAAAGCTCACCTAGTCTAGATAAAAAGGGGCCAAAATAAACTGGGGAGGTTGGGAATCTCAACTTGGATCATAACCAAAGAGGCAGCTGGGAACAGGCAAGGAACAACTCTTACTCACATTAACTATGTACACAGAAGCTTGTCTAACCTAACTAAGGGGAGAGCTCTGCAGGAAACCACCTCAATGTGACGTAGGTTGACCTAGAAAAGAAAATCAAGGCTAGCCCTGTTCAAACGAACCAAGCTCGCCTTTTTCACCCACATTTCGCTGAAGACTATCAAATGCAACCATTTTCTATCAGTTCTAATCTTCATCTTGAGATGATGCTCAAAGAATTGGATCAGATCCTTATGAGAAAGACGGCTGCCTCGCAAGACCGCCTCCATTCGCGTCATCCAAATCACCATTCAGGCTGTGACCAGCAGCATCAGAAACACCATTCAGAATATGGGGGCGACACATTGTCACACGCGTATGCGCGATCCATGAGCACAAGCTTTTCGGGAATGAGGCGAGCCGTCAACTCACGGACATGGTCCAATAAGGGGCGGACCCGGGGACAATGGTAGAAGGCGTGCGAAGCCGTTTCTTCTAAACACCGTTCACAGTCTGGCAAATCCGCCAATCCCCATATGAAGGCCTTGTCATTGAGAGGCAGCTGATTCCGAGCCAATCACCAGGTAAGCGAAAACTCAAGGTTACTGAGATAATCCGCCACTGGCGCCCAAGACCAGAAAGAGCGAAACTCCTCCTCCGACAAGTCGAACCGCTCACGTAGAGTATCCTTCACGGCCCCCTCCACAAAATAACGAGCTTCCTAGGTCGTGAAAGGTCACTAGGCCGAGTAATGATCGTCAAAGCGTACTGACACTCGCAAAGGAAACCGATTGATCACAATATATATATATATATATACATAAAAGGTTGAATCAAACCAGGAAATATATATATATATATATATATATATATATATATATATATATATATATATATATATATATAAAAAGTGAACATTGAAGTCAACACTTAAAGGCGACAGTCTGTTTCATGCTAGACGCAATCGTCAGGTGGCCTGACGATTGCATCTAGCATGAAACAGACTGTCACCTCTAAGTGTTGACTTCAATATTCACTTTTATATTTACACATGCTCTATCTCTGATATTGAGCACTTTATCCCATAAATATAGCACATCTTAAGACTATATTTCTTCTTATATATATATATATATATATATATTTAGACAATATATCTTCATTCAAACATGTTTCATTGAATAATATAGAAATATTGTGCCTATTTATTTTTATAATAATCATTTCCAGTTCTCTAATCAGTTTCTTGATGTTAAGATGAAATTCATCAAGGAAGGTGCCATAGCTTTTTTAACTGAACTCTTTTTGAACTTTTCTAAGATCATCTTCAAGGGTAAATTACAAAGACAAACTTATTGTAAGTAAAAAGTAAAGTGCTCAACACCTAGATTCCCTAGAGTAAAAATGCTTGCCAACGTTAATTCCTATGAAGGGGCGGCCCAAGTTTCACAGTCACCTGATCTTCAGGCAACTTGAACATTCAAGTAGTCTGATGATTGCGTACTCACGAAACTTGAGTTACAACTAGAACCAACCTTATATATGTATATAGGTCATTTTCAGGGGTGAATTACAAAGACAAACTTATTGTAATTGTGATAAAGTCTGCATTCCGTTGTGATAGTGATTTAAAAAAAAACATGTGCGAATGATCTCTGTTATGGTTATTTTAATTGTACTGACTGGAAATTGTTAGAAATGTAAAATGGCATTACATGTTATATACACATCAATATATTGTTGCTATATATATATATGTGCATTCTATCTATAAACAAGATGAAAATGTCCTAAAAATCTCATAAGTACTTATATTGAAATACTTGTTTTGCAAAAAATTCTATAACTACAACAGATAAAAATAAGTAGACTCAATACACCTATATAATTCGATGAAACATATATATATATATATATATATATATATATATTACTTAATATAAAACCCAGGTTAAATGGTGGATGTGGAAGAATCTCAACACCATTCATCTGTTTGAACTTCTCCTTAATCAACTTGGCAGTGTGTGGCCTCACTGAAATCATACTTATTATAAAATCCAGGTTGTGTGTGTGTGTGTGTGTGTGTCTGTACGTTTATATATTGATCGGATTTCCTACATTTTCAACCGATTTCAACAAAACTTCACAGGACTACGTAAAATTACCTTCCGGTGGTTCTGACAGCGCCCAAAATTGAAAAAACAATTGTTTTTGCACAAAATCAATTTGAAAACACGATTAAGAGGCATCACGAGAATGAAAGGGGACAACTCATATCGAGTTATACTTATTATAAAACCCAGGTTGTTTGTGTGTGTGTTCGTTTATATATGGGATCGGATTTCCTACATTTTTCAACCGATTTCAACAAAACTTCACTTTTTTTTTTGGAAGGTAGTGTTTCTTATTGTCTTGCACACTTTTTTTTCTTTTATTTTTACATTCAGAATACTTTAAAATTCCATTTACAAGACTATTTTTATAATAAAATTCTATTCAATCGGTAGACTCATAACGATTGAAAACAATGTTTTTGTTTGTGTTTGACCAATTCATAAAAAAAAAAACTAATTAAGACATTCGTGTCTGTCAACCTTAAACAATAATCTTTGTCAATTTTATTTTTCAGTCTTTATGATGGTCGATACTTGATCTATCTCTTACTGTTACATCCCCGGGCAACGCTGGGCTCTACTGCTATATATATATATATATATATATATATATATGCTCCTGAAAATTATTTCAGTTGAGCTTTCTGGGGAGAAAGTGTAAGTTTGCAAACAGTGACTATTACTGCAACTAATGCAATACTTTTTGATAAAATGAATTGAGTTCTCTCAGTCACTGGCATGTTTATTTAGAAATAAATACACTTAAATTCACCTTCATCCATGCCATGCGCCAACAGCTTAAGGGTAGATTCCCCAACTGATGCTAATTCAGCTGGGTTTCGATCCTAGCTAGAGGCAACCAGACGTCTAGTCACACTGATGAGCTGTGATAGAGCAAAAGTCTGTCTGTGGATAACAATATATATATATATATATATATATATATATATATATACTAAGGACCACACAAGGTAAAGAGTTATTGAATGTGGTTGTTATAAGGACATAAAAGGAGGAAGTGAAAAAATGCATATTATGAGTATATGTAGGATATATAATAGCTAACCCTAAACTTGAAGAGTATTTTTGTGTTTGGAATAGTATCCTCTTGAGAGTTTGTTCCACAAAGTAACAGTTGATAGGAAAATGTTGTCTGAATGGATCTTGCTCCTTACCAATGGAATAAGAAGTGGTTAAGGATAATATGTCTCAGTTTAGATGGCATGGCAGATCACTTGCTGTGAAGGCCTGAACTAGTGGAACAAAGGAATATAGCTCATCTGAATATTTGCCATGCAAATAGCAATAGAGTAGTGAGAGGCTGGCAACTTTTCATTTGTGGGGAAAGTGTTTGTAGGGTGGGAAATAAAGACAGATCAATTAAAACCATGAACAAAATATTGAATACTGGAAGTTTTGCAGTTTTAAGATTGGTTTGCTTAGATTTTGTTTAATGGATTTTCAATCTTGATGGCTTATTTTATGCAAACTGGGTGGATGCATATATTACCTCTATACTTTTCTTTTTTCTAATAGTTGGAGGGGCTCAGTTCAGTAGCTACAGTTCATTTTAAATAGATTATTTAATCTGTTAATTGGAACCATTTAAACCAGTCCTCATATACTCATACATAAACAATTTTTAAAGGAACTTAAAAATTATCTCTTTTAGAAACCCTATTATCTGAGACCTGAGTTTGAATTCCAGTCGAGTATATTACATTCATTTATGTGCTAATACCCTTGAGAAAGGTATGAATCTTCTCCCCCCAGTTATGGGTAAATAACAGGTTCTATAGCTTTGGATGGCAACTGGTCAACTACAGAAAGAAATGGCAACCTACTATGGAAAAAAAATCAGCCTTGTCAGTCATGTATTGAAAGATACATGATCACCTAAACATATACCACGCATGGCACATAACTGATTATCTGACCAGGAGCAACATCTTTAAGCAATGTTTTTATATTTGTGACACTGTAGTTATTTACTATAAGCTGATAGATTAACAGTTAAAATGTAAAAGCTATGATTGCAGTGGATACATTGAGGTACATCTTCACCTCTTAGCAGGTCTACATAAGTTTGACTTGCTTGTCCAATATGAACTCTAGTTAACAATGTCCTCTCTTCACACTTTTAGTAGTTTTGTCCTTTCCTGTGTGATGCTTGGTTGGTGCTTATAAAGTTTGTTTTCTGGAAATGTGTCCCATATTGCTTGCCATTTGCTTTTTATTGTCATTTTTTTTTTTAAATCTGTATATAGCATGTCTGCAATGTAAGGGTGATTAGTTGTTTTTTTCTTTTAAGGCAACCAAAGCAGATAGGGAGTCCATGAATATCACAAACTGTTGCTCTACCAAAGCTCCTTAAAGATCAAAGGATATCTTCATTGCTTGCAGTTCCACTGTAAAAACAGAAGTAGCTTCAATCAGTCTCATTTGCTTTTTTTTTTGTTACAACCATCCATGGCAGCAGCTCCTAGTTTATTTGAAACTTTTACAGTTTTAAGAATAGAATCTGTTTAGGGATTTGTTATATCACAGCTGGTAGGCCAATAAAGACAGACAAAAATAAAGTAAAATATATAAAAATAACAGAGAAAAGATATCTTTACAGGATTAATGAAATTAATTTCAATGAGTCATAGTTGGCACCTGCTTACATCAAGATCATCATCCTCGCTCCTTATTCCCTTTCTCTCCTCTGGTTATAGAGATGGCTGTGAAGGCCCAGCCTACTTCTGAAGCATTGTGAGCAGGAGTCACAGATGTGCAATGACAAATACAGCATAAAATACATATGTTAGAAGTTCTTTTTAGAGTTATATTTGTAATTGCTTTTTTTTTTTTTACTTTCTGGCAACTTGTTTATTTATAAAATGATAAACAATAAATAAATTACTCAGCTATCTGAACACAACAGTCTAGAGCTTTGCATTTCTTTAAAATATGTTGGAAATTGGCATCTGTTTGCATACTTGATGTATATATAAGAAATAAAAAACCACACAGACACACCTACACATTTAAATAATAATAATAAAATATCAACCTCACACCAATAAGTAACACAAATTAATTTTTAATATAAAAATAATGACAATAAGAAAATCTGCAGTCAATTGCTAAAACTTCTTTCTCAGGGGACAGAATGATTACAAAAGTTTGTTTACGAAACTCCAGAGTCAAGGTGCTGAATATAACATCAGCTAAGTGACAAATCTTATTTATATTAATCTTATATATTATATCTTATATATTATTTTGTATTACTATAAATGCTATATTTAGTGGGTATGTATGTTCGAGTAGACATCCCAGCTTTTTTTGTAAAATTATTGCCTACTGGCCTAGAGATTAATAAGTCTTACTAAAGAAAATCATGGAAAAATACTTTTATGCCAAATGTGCCTTACCAATTAGGCCACAGGAAGCCACTATGACAAAGCAAGACTCAATTAACCTATTTAATGCACATCTCTTGTTGGGACCTTTCTGGTAACTATTTTTGTACCAAAATGTAAACAAAGCAATTTTTAAAAGAATTTAATTTTTTTTTAATCTGACTGTATTTCTTATAACAATAAATATTATATTTAGTGTTTTTCAGTAATAAAAAATATGGTTAGATGAAAAAATTCATTAATTGCATAAAAAATTGGCATGGTGGTCTGATAAATCATTGTTCAAGAGATTGTTACTAACACAATATTCATAATGAATGTAGCTTTAAATAAAATTTTGAGAGATTGAACAGATATCTTTATAAGAAGGTTATCATTATTATATACTAACTATCCCAGAATAGGATAGACGTTTAGGCTAGGTGAAATTTGAGAACTTAGTTGCACTGTCCCAACCTTTTTTTGTTCAATGCACCCTTTTCATCATATGTCCAAATGTCATTCCCCTCTTTCCCAGAGTGTCCAACTCAAAATGTGCATTCCAAATAATATGCATTGTACTGTCTCCAGACATGCATCCATTTTGGGAAATGTGTGCATGTCTAACAGTCAGCTCAATGCCTTTCGGCAATCAAGACTCTGAAGCAACATTATGATTCATCTAAAGGTTTATTAACTGCAAAGAAAAGAGTTTATCTGACTGTTAGAGACATGCACAAATTTCCCAAAATGGATGTATGTTCAGAGACAGTACATAAAATGGTAATGCTCAGAATATTAAAGATATTTAGATAGAATGCATGCTGGATTGGTTATAGCCCTGTTGCTAGAAGTGGATCCTAGCCAGAAGTGGTCAGATGAACATGGGTCTAAAAGCATTCCTTAAAACCAAGGGAGATAAATGATGGGAACTATACTAATGCAGAACAGTACATGCATATATTATTGGAAATCTTCATTCTTTTATGTATTAGTACATATACATTTACATGGATTATTTTTTATAAGGGTTTTACAAATTTAATAGCAATAGAAATTGTTGATAGATTTTTAAACTTGAATACCTGTAAATTAATTTGTTTTACTTCATAATTATTAAATAAATAGACTGGAGCATACTTCAATAAACAAAAAATTCAATAAACAGTCAAGGTATTTAAATTGATTTTATTCTGATGAAGATTACAAATTGTGAAAAAGTAAAAGGTTTTCCTGCTTGAAACTGGAGAGAACCCTGAGTCATAGCATTTGTTTAAGTTATTCATCAGATTGGACTGAGAAATTGTGTGCAAACAGTGCTTTGTTTGTAGAAGATTAGATCTGCTGAGAATTCATCTTTTAAACTTGATCAAATAAAGAACAAACGCTGAACACATTTCCTCTCCTTATTTGGAGACAAGGCATTTATGTATTGCTAAGAACAAGGGGAGGTAACTCTTAATCAGTTCTTTCTAAACTGAATAAATGACCCTCGCATTTTACAATTTTATGAAAGAGCAAAGTAAAATTTTCATGATCTTTCACATTTACCAGAATATAAAAATAATAGAATCTGTTTAATCAATAAAAATTCCTTCTTCCATGTTCACATACAAGAAATTTAAAAATAGCGATAAAAAGCTAAAAACAGAAGAGGTAGCAAGTTGAATAACGTTGATTAGGTATCAAGACATATTTGACACCAGAAAATTAAAGTTAGGTATTTTTCAACATCTTCAGCATCCCTCTTGATGTAGAATTAGAATAAAAGTTTGTTATATTTCATTTCCACCTCCTATATATATATATATATATATATAATTCCATCAATAAAAACATTTGGCCTGAAGAAGTCGTTTTGAAGGACGAAACACAGAACAGTATTTTTTCCTTTTTTTTAATTAAATTATCCATCATTAGTCTAATATATAAATTGTATGTATGTGTGTGTACTGAATTTAATATAAAAAAAAAAAATAATTAATTATTGGTATATTAATAGGTTTTAGAAACATTCAACCAACCAGTGATTTTTTAACACCAGTTTCTTTTTAGAATTCTTAGAATCCAAACCATATAAAATAAATATTATTATTGTCTTTTTGAATGTCTCTCCTTGAACTATATATATATATATATATCTCAATCAAAGATCATTAACCCCTAACAAAACACATTTGGCATACATTAATTGAGGTTAACCTTTAAAGGCAGGCAGAATTTTTGTAGTGCTCAATATCATAAAACAGAGCAACAATAGTTAAAAGCTTAAAGGACTTATCTTCTGACTTGTTTTGCAGATAAACTACTTGTCAGGGTAATATCTTAATCAAACAAGTGGTGTTTCTGTGTAACATGAAGTCAAAAGAAAAGTCTTCAGGACTTATTTATTAACATATATATCTCCCTGTGCATTCAATTATTTGATTAGATCACTAAAATTTTTATATAAAAAAAATTGATTAGTGCATACATAATACTTGATTAGTGTGGTAAAACATTCTTCAGTTTAGCCATAGTAATTGAAAAATGATATTTTAATAGTTAATGATGTTCACATTAGCTGCACTAATCAAGGGATTCCTCTGTGTGTGTGTATATATATATATATATGTTGTAGCATACCTACAGATGATAATGGGTATGTCCCCATTCCCATAAATACAGTAGTAAATACTGTATGTTGGTCTGCATTTGGAGATTTATTGTGGAATTCACTTGACTCACTTCTAGCAGTTGACTACTTCTTTGTGCCGCTAGCGAATCTTATATGTGTTGTTCTTGTCCTAAGTATTATTGTTCATTACCAACCTGCATGTGATTATTCTATTCAGTAACCTTTGCTAGGTTAAAACAATATATATATGAGAAAAAAATTAAAGACTTCTGTAATACATCAGACCAAATGATTTGTATTTAATTAAGTCAAATGACTTATTGTCAATAATCAATAAAAACCCATCCTGATAGATCCTCTTTGCTGTATTTCTATTCCCAGTGTCTTTGTTGCCATAGATTTTAATTTCTGCCTGGAATATTAGGAAATCAAGATTTCACACCTTTCTCATAACCAGAAAGAGATTTTCGGAAAATGTCTACTGCAAAATCTACATCCTCTTTGGTAATGCACATTGGTGGTTTGATGCGGAAAACCTGACAGAGAGAAAAAAAAAAAAATAGAAAAGAAAAATGCACAAATTTTAAATCAAAATTTTGAAAAAAATTTAAACGAACAATCTACTTTTTTATTTTTTTCCACTATTTGGAATCTTTATTAACTTAAAACTTTTCAGGCAGAATTTTGCGTTAAACTGGTGTGTAGGACTTAATGGCTTGGGCACTTCAACGTGGTGTAATGGTTAACAAGCTTGTCTTGTGAGATCAATTACACATTTTTGGCCTTGTGCCACATCTAAGCTACACTTAGAAAATCATGTTTTGGGCATTTCAATGTTGTGTAATGGTTAGCAAGCTTATCTTGTTAAATCAATTATAACTGAATAGTGAGTGATCCTCATTGGGTGCCCCATACTTTAGGCCTTGTACCACATCTAAGCTGCATTTGGCTGTGGTTTCATCTGGCCTTCACCAGGTGTTTATTGATCTAGATAAACTTCAGGAATTTACATTCAGACTATTGTCTTCATCTTTGTTGTTATTATCATAATATTTTGGCTGTTGTGTCTGCTGGCCTTCAGATAACTTTCAGGAATTTTGAATTCAGTATTACATTCATCCAAGCCCATTGTGTTATATTATGCTTACTAAGTGTCAATAGTAGCATTTTACATACTATGGTAAATTTTCCCATAACTTTGATTATCACTATCATTGCTAGGGATATACCTATTGTTGGATTCTCCCACCCCCGACAATGATTACAAGTGGCACAATATTTGAAAGCTTTCCTCTTTTGCCTTTGATTTTTGGAGTGGTGACACATGTTTCCTTTTGCTTCAAACATACAATAGAGCCATCCGCAAGCTTTCCATTAATCAAATACTGAAATCACAGGTTGAGTCTATTCTAATTAATGTCAGTGGGTAAAGCCCATTGCATGCTCACAAGGAAACTAAAGGTGAAAATAAATGCCATGGAGAGAAACGAAGATTCAAAGCTTGTTTCCAATATATTTTGTTATTTATTCAAGGTTCACTTGCTCTGTCTAGATACTTAGGTAGGTGATACATGAAGACAATTTCTGCCACTCTTGACAAACAGATTAGCTTTCCCCCCTCAACTCTCTGCCCACTTCAACATCATGGCATGCATGTGGCTGGCAACTGTAAGAGGAGGCAGCAGAACTAACCTGAGGTACAGTCTGTCCTTGTGGGTGTTTCAGCACCCTCCTCAATCCTAACTGTGACTGTTAATATAGACATGTGACCAGAAATCCTCAACGTCACTTGACATCTCAAAAGTTTTTATTCACTTTTGGTCAAGTGGGTGGCCGCTTTGAAGACTCCCTTTTACTGGTCATAAAACACTTGAGACTGAAATAAAAATCATACACTTTTCTTCTTCAGTGTGAGTGTCCTAATAATGTCAGCAACAGATAATTATAAGATGCAGGGGAAATGGTTAGTTCCTTGTACTGCTCCAGTAAAAAGTAGGGTTATCATCTTTCATTCTGCTCCATGCTGGGCAGGGTTATCATCTCTCAGTTGCATCTTTGTCTCTAGGCAGAGTGCTTACAGCAATACCGAGAGGTGCTGGTTTTGGGGAACAGCTGTCCACAGCTGTACCCGCCTCATTGCACGAGAGAGAGGGCAATGGTTGTGGAAGCTGGGCAATTTTTTTGCTCTGGCTTGGCTGTATGCACTCGGGTCCTCCACATTAAACTCAACCTTGTGTCCCAGTGGGGATACTGGGCAAATATTGCTCCAATATGGACCAAAGTCCACCTACTATATTCTACCTGCCATATCTGGGCTGGAGATGACTCATCCTCACTTTCCAGTCTTGATAGAGTTCATGGGCTCATGGGTCTTGTACTGGGTGAACAATTATTAAAACAAATATAAAAACACAAAAAATAGATAAATTGCTTCCCGTAGCATGATAAAAGCAGAGCAAACATTTATAATTATTTTCTGCGAAAAAAAAAAAACACCCCAAAACAATGAAAATATTGCAATAAATGTTGCAAGTCTGTACAGCTTTTGTTCTTATTTACTTACATTGCCATAGAGTCCACCTTTTCCTATTAAAATCCCCATGTCTTTGCTTCTTTCCCAAATCTCAGCAATGTGCTGTGCAGGCAAAGGAGTTCGACTTTCCTAAAAGAATAAGAACAAAAAAAAAAAACAAAAGGCACAGTAAGTACAAAAATATCTATATTATAAAAGAAAAGCTGATTCTCCATCTGTCACACTATCCTTATTTTCTGACCTGTGTGACAGTAATATGGTTTGTAAGTAATTAATTTGGAATTGTCATCTCATAATGCTTGAAGAAAAAAAAAACAAAAAAAAAATAATTAAATTTGAATTTTTTACCTAATTAAAAAAAAAAAAAAAAGTTAAATTTAAGTTCTTGATCTAATAAACAAAAAAAAAAATTAATTTAAAAAAGTTTAAATAAAAAAAAATAATTGTAAATTAGAAAGAGTTTTTAAGAAAAATAATTTGGTAAATCAGGAAAAGAATTAAAAAAAAAAACCGATCAAAACTAAAATAAAATAATCATGTTAATCAATCTTACTAACCAATGTTTTGCACAGATGTCTTATTTACTATCTTTACTTATAGAAAAACGAACATTCTTGGAAACCAATGTCTTTTTCGGGCTTATCTTTCATAGAGATGAAGAATTGCTCCCACTTGTAACAAAAATAGTCAAAGAATGGATGAAGTATAACAATGTTTAAAATGAACAGATCCAAACAGAAACCAACCTTATCGGTGACCATTTCAACACCAATCATAAGTCCTTTGCCTCTCACATCTCCAACAATTTCAACCTCATCTTGGATCTTGGCAAGTTCTTCCAGCATGTAAGTTCCGGTCACATGAGAATTCTCCTGTATTTTTTCTTCTTCAATCACCTGAAAAACAATGCCAAAAAAGAGATTTAAAACACTTTGCAAGACAAAAACCTTCAAACCTTCCTATTAAAATACAACAAACTTTCCGCTTATAATACAACAAAAACCTCAGTGATATTCCACCATATATTATTTTGCATTTGGATCATTGTATAGATTTCAAAAGAAAGCCAGGAAATACCAAAATTAATTTAAAGAACAAATGTTTTGGTTGGTACAATCTATTAGAAAAAAAAAGTCAACACCTGATATGATCATTAGAAAAAACAAAATTTTCATTTGTAGGGATTAGCCCTACCTTGTCTGCCTTGAGGCCACTAGTTGGTACTTTTTCAGGACTATAAAAAAGGAAGAATATAAACCCTCACTTTATTTTTTCTTTCCAGATGTAGTAGTGAAAACACAGAATTCTTCCCCTGCAAAGAAATGTCTTAATTCCCAACAAACAAGACTACTTAATTTCAAGCAAACCATGTGGACATCACACCTGCACACACACACACACACATATTTTACACACATAATGCTAATCCCATAAATGTTTTCTTTTCCTTTTAACGAGCCTTGTCTATTTGCGTACATATAAATAACAAGAATAAATTTTCTCTTTTTATTCTTTGTGAGTTATATTGTTCTCTAAAATAAATACATACTTTAAGGGAAAAAACTGACAAATTGGAAAAAGTTTTCAGATGGCATGTTTTGTCCTTTTGGGATTCATTAGACTAAAGTGATGTTTATGTTGATGCAATTACACATGTGCATGAAGGAGAAGGGACACTGAAATTTTAAACACAAATTTTTTTTTTCTTCTTTTAAAAAAAAAAAGGTATGTGTTTTGATATACAGCCTATCCAATTTAAATAACAAAGCAAAAAGAGACTAAATGAAATCAGATAGACTATGCTGCTGGTTGAAATTATAAGGCCAATGAAAACAAAGAAAGAATATAGCTTTTGCGTTGTTAGACTCAACCACTTATTTGAGTAGAGTGTCAAAAAATGAAAATAAGAAAAGGAAAAATAAAAATTAAGAACATTTTTAGTATTTAACAGGGAAAATATGAATACTGAGAAATTGGTTGAAATACTATCAAAAGTTTAAGACCATATTTAAATGAAGTTTTAATTGGTAAACATATGACAAAACAATGCAAAAGGTATATTTTCTTTATTTTCATTTGTCTTAAGATTTTGGCCAAGAGTTAATATACCTAAACACATTTTTAAAAAAATATTAGATTTAAAATTTCAGTAGCTTCTCTCCTTCATGTGTATATGTAATCACATCGACATAAATAAATATTACTTCAGTCTGATGAAGTCCAAAAGGATGAAACAAGTCACATGAAAACCTTTTCTGCTTTGTTAAAGTTTTGCCCCCTAAAATTGTTCTCGATATCTAAAAATTTATATATAGTTTTCCCATAAATATATTTGTAAAATTCATCCATATGCTGAAATTTAGTTTTAAAGTTTTCATCCTCATCAAAAGAAGTTATAACTCCCCCACCTTAGAAATGGATGACTAACAGCAATTCTTACTGTTGAAGTTATTGCTAACATGTTTTGTTGAGACTTACAAACTATGCTTCATTCAATTTTACAAACCAATCGATGAAATTTGAATAAGCTGATTTGTTTGGAAAAATACATTGACAAAAATCCTACTGCATGGTTTAATAATTTTTTTAATTTAATTTGAATAGACTTGATGGTAAACACTTTAAAAAAAAAATTCTTTTTTTCCTTTTTAACAGCAAAGAATAAATTCTTAGGATTTCTTACTCTTAAGCATGCAACATACAACTGGTCATGCGTAAATATCCTCTTACTTGTTTACACTTCTCCTCAAAATTTGGTTTGATTGATCAATGTGTGGCTATTTTAGAGAGTGTGATGGATGAATGGAAGTCACAGAATTTTATATATAGACGAGAATTTGTTTTGCAACATGCTGATGTGTGTTGAAATCCTTACAGTATTTAGTATTGTTGAAGTTATTGCTAACATTTTTTGTCAAGATTTACAAACTCCATGTTTCATTCAATTTTGCAAATGAATCGATGAAATCTAAAAGATATGCAAAAAAAAAAAAAGAAAGAAAAATAATTGCATTTTTATTAAGTATTTATTTTAATCATTAAATTGTTTTTAAAATAGCGGGAGTATTTATTTATGTTAAATAAAACTTAATTTTTCCAAAAAATTAATGAAAAATTGTTGTACTAAGCTACACACCCTAGTAAAACCAAACTGTACTTTGTACCCACTTAACTGTTTGCACTTCTTCCCAAAATTTGGTTTTGATCAGCTAATGTATGGCTATTTTAGAGGGTGTGATGGATGGACAGAATAATTGAAGTCACAGAATTTTATATATAAAGATAGATAGATAGATAGATAGATAGATAGATAGATGTCTGAATGGTCCAAAATTTGTCTGAAACTTACTTGAACATACATTCCTTGAATAAGAGATTCTGTGAAACAAAATATTGAATTTCATCAAGGGTCTCATAATGAAGATGTAAGATATTGGTTTCATTGAATCTTAAACTATTGATTTTCTTTTATGAGGCAGTGTGGGGATCACACCAACCCTAAACAAATCTCCACTTGCACATTTCTGAAACTAAAGAATTGATGCCATGTTTATCAGAAACCTGCATGAAGATGATAATCTCTTAAACATTAGTAGAGGTTTATGTGACCCTATTGGGAGCAGAAAAACCAATGACTATGTACATAGCAAGGTCAAAAGTCATCATGGGCTGACAGGAATCTCTCTTTGCCACTAAACATTGGAAGAAGTCATAGTTTGGCCAAGTCCCACAGCATAACAGCCTCTGCAAGACCATTATTCAAGGCACTGTTGAAGGCGGATGCAAGCAGGGATGGCAATGCAAAAGCTGGTCATACATCAAAGAGTGGACAGATATGACAATGCTGGATTTTTGAGAACCACTGTCAACAGATTCTCCTGGAAGAGGTTGTCTGTTTCTTCTGCCCTTCGGTCCGCCCGACGATTGAAGCAGTCAAGGGACTGATAATGATGATGATTGTTTCCTGTTTAGGATTGGGTTTCTGGTTCCTTTTAAAGTCTACTTCCATACTATATTTCTAATGTCTTTGACTGAACTCGGAAATGTTATTCACTAATTAAATCTTAACCTCTTCACATCTAGAGTTAACTGTTATCTTTCCAGCATAGCACCCAAGAACTTCACTTCTTCCCCCTTTCTTACACCAATACAACACCACACAGTAATCTTCTACCTTGAGTGGCTCTTGGGCCATGTATTGGATGAACATCAATTAAAAAAAATAAAGAAGAAGAGGTGGTGAATACAAGCTAGGAATGTTGGAATTTTTTCAAATAATAAACCAGAGAGGTTTGTGGGGGGGGTGATGAATATTACATGCCCGATAGCAAGCAATGTGATTTAGTTATGGTAATAGTAATATCATTCTTTGATATATTCCTGGAATATGAAGTGTGAGTTCAAATCTTTTTGGAGGCTATTTTTTTATGATTCATAGTGTTTACTTGAAAATGATCCAAGTGTTGTGATAAAAGGAAAGAAAAAAAAATATTAATAAAAAATTTTAAAATCAAACTATCAAATTTGTTAAGTCTATTACTACATAGCAAAGAAAAAAATTGTTTTCCGTCTGATTTGACATGAACTCTTTTTGCTAGTTCGCTTGTATATGTATAAAATCAGAAACAAGTACAAATGTTTGATTTTATAGTGAAAGTCAAAAGTTGAAACAATGAAGACTAACCTTAAGAACTGCAGAACCCACTGCACAAGAAATAGGATTCCCTCCATATGTATTGAAGTGAAGGGCCTCAGACATTTTTTGAGCAATTTCTGGAGTGGTCACAACAGCTGCCAAGGGGAAACCATTTCCCATACCTTTTGCCATAGTTACTATAATGATTATAGAAAATATGTGAAATAAAATAAATATACAAGAAATTTTTCAATTTTTATCCATTGTAGTCATTGAATTTTTTTTTTTTTTACAAAACAAGCATTTCAATATAAAGGAATGACCGGTAATTGGTAGAAATGTAAAATGGCATCAGTATATAAATTTTATATGCACTTTAATATGTTGTTGCTCTATTCGTAATAAATTTTGTGTTGGCTGGCTGATTTTGATAGAAAGGGTCCTTGAGAATTTAGAGTTTTTTTTAATTATTTTCATGGTGTAATATATTAGTGTTGTTGACAAGTATTTTTCTGTATTGTGAAGGTGGACAGAAATGTGTTTTTAGAGGTTGTGCAATAGAACTTGTATCCGATGAATGAAGTGTAAGACATCTTAATCATGTTGTGGTGGTCAAGGCAACATATGTACTTACTTTTTTGTCAGATATACAATCTCCCAATAGACTTTTAAACTGATATACAATGTTGATTTTTTCCAAAACACTAGTTGACAGAAAAGAGTTATTGCATATGATTAAGTTGATTGTGTTAAATTTAGTATAATATATAATTAGTTTTATTTTTTAATGTGATCAATGGGGAATATATTAGTACTTATGACATTTTTTTTTAGGACTTTTTCATCCTGTTTATAGTTTGAATGCATTTGATTATGGTATAGTAGGTTGATATATTTAGGATTATTTGAGGAATTATTAAGTTTGTTTTGATTGATGTTAATATTTCTAATGGCTCGCCTAATTTGTTCATCAATGATATAATTAGGAAAGTCATTAATGAGAGTGTGTTTAATGTTTTTTAATTTAGTGTAGAAATTTTTTTTGTGGAGCAGTTTTTCAAATTTTGTATAAGAGCTTTTTTGTAATAGGACATTCGCTTTTATAGTTTAGACTGCAATTGTTTATATATATATATATATATATATATAATTATTTTTTTATAAAAAATTATAACATAAGTATGTTATAAAATCACTACAAAAATAGCCATTTTGTCTGCTCTACTTTGTATTGAGCACTCTTTTAAGAATAGTAATTGTTGGTTATTGGAATTCATTCTGTATATACCAATTATATACTTTGGTATATATATATATATATATATATATATATATATATATATATATAAAAAAACAAACAAAAATCTAATATGCAATTAAATGTAATATGATATAATGTCTAGTAGTCTTTACATTTCGGTCCATAATTAATTTAGACCATATTTAATTCAATATGAAAGACAATGGACATAAGAGTCAGAAAAGACTAATCAAAACAGACAACTAAAATTTTCAAGATTAGCTGCCTGCTTCAATATGATTAATGCTCAAATAAACGTACATATAAGTTTTAGATTAAAATAAAATTCTTTTTCATTTTTCATTCAAAATACTATATTTTAGGAATACGTTTTACAACATGATTAATGACTCATCATATTGAAACAGAAAAATTTCAGTTGTCTGTTTTGATTAGTCTTACTCTTATGTCCATTGTCTTTTCATATTGAATTAAATATAGTCTAATATTAATTATGTTTTATGAATATGTCCTGAAGATGGTCTACTAGACCAAAATGTCCGACATTGACATTATATTAACATTAAAACAGCATAATTGCGTATTAGGATTTTTGTTTGTTTTTTCCGTATATTTTTCTTCATACTGTCAGATCTATATCCATATATTTGCTTTTATATATATATATATATATATGTATATATATATATATATGTATATAAAATGGATATCAGTAATAGACACCTTTTCCAGAAAGTTAAAAAGAAAAAATGCACACCTAAAATGAGAAAAAATAATTTACCAAAGGCAAGGTGAATCTATTTAATTGCCATTTTTACCTTTGAAAAATAAAGAACAATTAGATTATAATTACAAAAACAGATGAAACTCTTCAGCTGTGCAATATGAGAAATGACTTGAAAAAGAATATGTATACTCCTGTAGGTGCTCCAGCATACAAAGAAAAAAGAAAAAGAAAAATTGTGAAGAGCATGGAAATGGGTAAAAAAAAAAAAAAAAAAAAAATTCCAGTTTTTTTTCTTAATAGTTTAATATTTGATAAATTTTGAAAAAAATTGATGAAATTCTCTCTGTGTATGGGGTGGGTGCATAGCATAGTGGCTAATGCCAGGAAAAGATTTTGCTCAAATAACCTTGTGATGGTAGAATCCACTTCACAGCTATGGGTTAAATAGCAGGACAGACTGAGTTCTCTAGCATTGGTTGGCAAACACTCTTGGAGAAGGATAACCAACCTGCAAGTCAATCTTACAAAAAGCCTACTTGCTACAAGAATCTTAGCAGCAACACTAGCATGGCGAGTCTGTGGTCTTATACTCCACATGAACTGAGAAGGACTCTCTCTCTCTCTCTCTCTCTCTCTCATATATGGTGAAATCTGGCTCATTAGGATTTATTTATTTTACTTTTGCTCTACTTAGTATATTGAGCACTCTCCGTTTTAATTATTACTCACTGTTTTTTTTCTTTTCTTTGTGCCAGAAATGTAAGGTACTGGACAATTTCTTTTGCCGTTTGGAGCTTTCTGGCTTTTTTTTTTTTTAAAACCAATTTTTCCTCAGATGCCAATTTGCTTGAAAATTGTGCTATACAGGTGTTTTTTCACCAGAGTTTAAATATGTATGTGTGTGTGTATGTGTGTGTGTGTGTGTGTGTGTTTATGAAAACTGACCTCAATATAGTTGAAAAAGTGCATGCAAATAGGAAGAGAGAAAAAAATACTAACTAACCAATATCAGGAATGATATCATGACCTTCAAATCCCCAAAAGTCAGTGCCTGTTCGTCCGAACCCAGTTTGAACCTGTAAAAGATAGTTATCATTTGATAATCTTAAAATAGAGATGATTAATACAAATACTTCAGGATTATCATAACTGCAAAAGTTAGCAAAGGAGTTCCCATGAAACAACAAAATCATTAAAAATTGGCATCAGCAGAACCAGATTATCCTATTGGCTAATATAGGCTGTAGCCCAGGGCCCCTCAAACTTGGTTATAATGCTGGCTATAAAAAATCTGTTATTATACTATGGTTGCTAATTTGGTTTGCAATAAATAATAAAATAGTGGTATTTCTTAAAGGAATATTTTTATTGACAATCGAAATATAGCTATTCTATTTTATTTAAAGAATTTGCAATAAGTTTACTTCAAGCTATGTTAATGTTGCTAAAATATATCATGAGTAAAATATATTCAAAACAGGTATGGGTGAGTTAGAGAATGGTTCTGTCTGATGGGGTACCCATAATTTCATTAGCCTGGGGGCCTCAAAAGGTCATAATCCAGTTCTGGGCATCAGACATTCACTTGGAGACTAGTAAACAGAGCAGTTAAAATTTTGAGAAAAGAAAAATTTATATAATTGAATATTTAGCAAGGGGATTGTCATTCCTTTATCACTTATCCTCACTTTCAGCCTGGTGACACATCTATGCTTAGAATTTCATTTGGGCACCATGATGTGGTGTAATGATTAACAAGATTGCCTCATTAGAACAATTACGATGTAGTATTGAGTTTAATCATCACTGTGTGCTCTATGCTTTCAGCCTTGCAACAAATCTAAGCTATGCTTAGAAAATCATTTGGGCACCATGATGTGGTGTAATGGTTAACAAGCTTGCCTCATTAGAACAATTACGATGTAGTATTGAGTTTGATCCTCACTGGGTGCTCTATACTTTCAGCCTTGTAACAAATCTAAGCTATGCTTAGAAAATCATTTACGCACTTCAACGTGGTTTAATGTTAGCAAGCTTGTCTCGCAAGATCAATTATGATTAAGTAGTGAGTTGAATCCTCAATGGGTCCCCCTTAACTTTGGCCTTGTGCCACATCTAAGTTATGCTTATAAAATCACTATATACACATGTGTAGTACCAGTAATCATTCATTTACAAAGTATTCATTAAAGCAATTTGGGAGTGTCAGTGTCCTATATTTTTTTTATTCTTTTTTAGGACTCACATTTCCAGTGGTAAATAGGGCGAGTAAAAAAAAAAACAAAAAAAAACAAAAAAAAAAAAACATGCTGTCAAAAGCACTTTGAACAATATGATACAGTCCAAGAAATAACCAACACATGAATGAATGAACAAAAAAGAGAATAACATAAAATTCAGATTGTATTAAAAAAAATCATTAGGCACTTACTTCATCAGAAATGCAAAGACCACCTCGTTCACGGATCTTCTTAAAAGCACCTTTAAGAAAACCCTTAGGAAACTGGACAGTACCTCCAACACCCTGAAAAAAAAAAAAAATAAATAAATGAGAAAATATTTAATGGCAAATTGCTTCCTTTGTATTCATGTAAAGTATATGAACACAGCGTCACCATGCCAGTGTTGTGGCTTTCATAGCTGGATGGAGCTCTATATCCAACCAGTTTGAAATTCAGAATTATCCTTCTCCTAGACTGTTTGCCAACCTAGGCTAGAGAAAGCCCAGTCTGCCTTTATATTTAATCTATAGCTGGGTGAGAAAAGATATGCTTTTATACATTTCCAAGGAATACTTGCTCAATTATTTTATTGCAATAAACACATTTATGCTAAAATATGTACTTATATAACCTATCGATATACAACTGTCACTTTTAATGGCTACTACTCTAGTGAGATAATAAATGGATAAAATTTATACCAGTCACTTTTCCCACTAGCTATAGGTTAAATAACAGGGTAAACTGGACTCTCTAGTTTTGGGTGGTAGCTAAACTAAGAGAAGGAAAACACCGATTTCCAAACTGTGAAAAAGCCAATGGGAAATCACTATTTTTCCAAAGAATGTATGGCAATTCACAAAAAGATCTGTAGAGAGTGATGATTACTTATTGTTTGAAAATATATGAGGTTAAAAAAAATAAAAAAAATAAAGGTCACAACCAGTGTAAGAGAAGGAAGAAAAAAAAAAAAAAAAAAACTGTGGAGAAAGCAATATGAAACTAGTCCACTAGCTTTCCCAAGGACACATGGTAATGCAGAGATAATAAAGTGAGAAATGTATAGTTATGATACATGAAAGGATATGGCATTAAAAAAATATGGCCACAATGGTTACAAATTGTGGAGAAGGCAATATGAAACTACTCTATTATCTTTCCCAATAATAAAGAGAGAAATGTGTGGAGAGTTATGATCACCTAAAGGTGTTGCAGGAATCACCTCTTTGGTTGCAAGGTGTGAACAATAGTAAATACTGTATATTGGTCTGCAGTTGGAGATTCATTGTGGAATTCACTTGACTACTTCTACATGTTGCTGGCGAATCTTATATGTGTTGTTCTTGTCCTAAGTATTATGTGTGTGTGTGTGTGTGTGTGTGTGAATGTGGACCAAAGAAGCAAACATGCCCCGGTGGTGGCATTCTTTATTCACGTTTGACTAAATTTAGAAGCAAGAGAAGAAAGAGAAAGAAATGTTTGCCTCTTTATAGATTTAAATAGCATCATCTAATGGGTAACCCAAAAAGGAGATGACATTAAAAATACTAAGAAAAAAAAACAAAACAAACAAACTATAAATCAGTACAAGAAAAAAAATCCAGAAGGTTTTATTTTTTAATACTTACCTGAATTGATTCAGCAAAGAAAGCACCCACACGTCCTTTGGGCATGGAATGACGCAGAACATCCTCAAGTTGTTCCAGATAAAAGTCAGTGGCTAGACAACGGTCAGCTGGGCAGTCACACTTACGAGTTGTCTATTACAAAGACATAAGAAAAAATTTCATATAGTTTTATTAGGGTCAAGTAAGCAATATAATAGGTACATAATAGTAAATCTGTAGCCTACTCATGAAAAGAAAAAAATATTCTTTTTTCAATCTAATCTCCTTCCTTGTATATGCACTTAACCTAAACTTTTTTCATTAATCACAATAGAGTGAACATTTTCTCACTGACACACATTATGTGTGTATGTGTGTGTGTGCATGCCTTCAAGGCACCATGAAATGTCAGTCCAGAGTGTGTAATAAACTAACTAGTTGTGGCACCTTGCATTATTAGAAATATGATTTAATTTTTTCTTACTCGGTTACTAAACAGGTTGTTGATTTTTTTTAAAAACGGAAAATAACTGAGTTGAAAATAATTCACTAAGATTGTACTAGACGATCTTAAGGGAAGAAGAAGGAAAAGAAAAAAAAAAAAAGAAAAGAAAGAAGAAGAGAAAAAAAGAGTTGTATGATGCATGACCCAATTGAGGGTGGAGATAGGAGTCAGAAAGAGATTTAGGTCAGCGTCTTGGCCGATTTTCGAAAGACAATTGGAAGAATAGAATTATAAATAATAAGAAGAAAGAAAGGGAAAAAAGACATGATATCAAAAGCGGGCCGCTTGATGGAAGCCAGATATCGGTCAAAGCACCTAGCCTACTTTTGCATGGAAAAGACACCTTATCAATTTGGATAAAGAGAAATTTTGGGAACAATGAAACAATCTTAATCAGAGAAAAGTGTCTTTGGGTTGAGGGGGTGACCGGTGGAACGATATACAGATCCTATCCTGTTAAGAATTGGACACCCACGTTAATAAAGTGGAGACATTTTCAAAGTAGATAATTAAGATTTTCGACTATCAGGAAAAAACAAAGAGGTAAAAAGAGGGACAATTGCTTTTGGCTCACGGAGGGGGCCAAGAAGGCGGAAAAGATCCTTTCTAAAGTCAAGACTAATTAGCGGCGGGCTGTTTGACAAAGTCCAGGTGAGAGAAAGCCAAGATGGTCATTTTTTAAATGCGTGCAAAAAAAAAGAAAAATTAGATTTTGTTTTTTTTAAACAAGAACGATGTAACCACGCCCGCAACAAGAGGAGAAAGGATGTTCGATCAATAACAATTGGTCGGAGACGGTCCGCGTGAACTGCGGAAGAGAAGGGAAAGAAATGCTCGATCCAATAACGATTGGTCGAAGACGGTCCGTGATCTGCGGAAGAGAAGGGAAAGAAATGCCCGATCAGGAACCATTGGTTAAAGCGGTCACCTGACATACGAGAGACTAAGAGAGATGGATGTGCGCCGCCCCACCAAAGGTACTATGAGGAAGTAGGGGTGAAAACAATAGCGATAATGGAGAAGACAGAATTAATGCAGCTTTTGGAATTATCGAGAAAACCCTGACGCCGACAGACCCACGGGTTTGTTCTTGGCCAATATAAACAGGACCCCAGTCGACAGAAATCAGTAGAGTTGGAGTTGAGTTGGAGTTGCAGTTGGAGTTGAGAGTTGGACCCTTGGCAGGGATAGAGCCTGAGCAGCGGCCATCAGGCCCGATTCACTCGCCCCTTTGCGGGCAAGAGAATCCTCAGACAAGAAATCCTTCCACCCAAGTCGAAGACATGAGTTCAGCCCAGGACGGCAGCGAAGAGATCACCTCCAAATGTAGACAGAGAGTTGCCTGAAAGCTGAGTTGCGGCAAGAGATCCTTCCAGCCCAAGTCGAAGACAAGAGAACTTCCAGCCTAAGTCGGCGAAGAAGAAAAATACAACTCAAGTCAAGACAGAAGAGTTCAGCCCAAGACGGCAGCGAAAGATCACCTCGGACGACAGAGAGTTGCGGCTGAGTTGCGGCAATGAGATCCTTCCAGCCCAAGTCGAAGACAAGAGAACTTCCAGCCTAAGTCGACAGAGAGTTGCGGCTAAGAAGAAGAAATACAACCCAAGTCAAGACAAGAGAACTTCCAGCCTAAGTCGGCGAAGAAGAAGAAATACAACTCAAGTCGGAGAGAAGAATCAACTGCGAATGATCGATAGAAATTAGCCCCAGTGTCGAACCAAACCACACTCCGACATACACAATTCTAAAAAAGTAGGCAATTCAAATCTTTAGGTTGTGTGATAGAAGCTTGGTGCCATAGTCCACAGAGCGGGTCGGGAAATGAGAACAATTTTGTTTTTATGTAGCGGACATTAAGATATAAAGGGTTGTTACCCATTTTTTCATCAACAATCTTTTTTTAGTCTCGTGAGTTTATTTTCTTTTTAATTGTGTTTTGCCACCCCCCCCGGACTCAACATGTATCGCCCCCAATCCCTGCTGGTCCCGTCTGTCTAAGATCTAAACACAGCGTGGGTAGACAGACCGGAGATCGCACAGTTGCTTTAGTGACCAGGTATTGAAGCAGTCGGGAAAAAAGGCGAGGCTGGTGATCATCTGACCAAGGGGTTGGAGCGGCACGCTTGGACCCAGGAGGAGGCGACCAGGAGGAGGCGTCACCGTTAAGCGCCCGTAACCAAAGGATCCGACCCTGGGCCAGGTGTGTAACCGTCACAAGTGCTTAGCAGGGCTGGAGTAAGGGACTTATTGTCACCTCCATGAATCTATGATACCCCCCTCTACTACATCTCAATTTTCATAAGATAGTATTCACATAAAATACAAATTTTATTGTAACCTAATCATGTACAGTAATGGATCATATGCAATATAGGTGAACAATTCAACTAGAAAAATTGAAAATAAATACAATGTATCTAAATACAAATTTTAGAGACTAGATAATTCCATCTTAAATAAATCAACAATGTTTTGCAGCTATTTTTAACATCAACTTGAGATTTTTCTCATTAAAAAAGTTGAAGAATTTTAACACATTCAACATTGTAGTTAAAAAAAAAATAGAGAATTTTATATAGTGCTTTTTTTTTTTTTTTAAGACTTAGCATGAGTAAAACAAATTCAGATTTGGATGAACAAAATGACATCATTTTGGAACCCCAGAATGACATCATTTTGGAACCCCAGAATGACATCATTTTGGAGCCCCAGAATGACATCATTTTGGAGCCCCAGAATGACATCAAAATCCGTGAAAATTTGTCATCATTTAATAGTCAGTTGTGCTTTGTTTAATTTGTATCATATAGCAAATGTTGATAAGATAACGAAAATCACAGAGTAGTGCTCGGGGACCCCCAATAAGGCTTACCATACCTTGACCAAAGGATCAGGGGGGAATACACCCCAGCCCTAATGTTTAGTGAAATTCCCAAATCAGTGTAGACATATAGTAGTGTACAACATAACTCATTTTGTGACTTATTTTCGTTATACCGTGTATGGGGGGGGTTGTAATTTAACTGATTCTGTAATGCAAAATATCTGACTGAAACCAAAATTCCCCAGAAATTGCTGTCAGCAACTTTCATTTATTCCCAGTAAATGACAATTTCCTATTTTCCACCAAAATGGGCCAGCACAGCCAGGCAATACTACTATAGTAATACTGCAGTGAAAGTGTCAAATTTAGTGGTCATTTTGTTTAGTGGCATTATCAGACTCTATGGGTTATTTAATACTGAAATCTAAATATTTTGTACACAATTTTATCGTTTTAACTATATATATTTGGGATTCAATTTTATACCTCCAACTACAGATATTTGACATAATTTTATACTTTAAGAGCAAACATATGCTTTTTGTGAAATATATTTTGTAGATGATAAAAATGTATTTTTGCTAAATTTATTTTTCACATCTATTGCTGGTAATTTCACTACAAAAATGTATTTTTGGTAATTTTTTTTTATAAAATTTTTTTTATAAAAATTACTCTCAAAACATCTGATCTCCCAATCAGTGGCTTTGCTGCCAGATGTGCTTATCTTCATACCAAGGACAACTGAAGGATTCTTACCCCTCTGCAAAGCTGCAGTCAACATATTCTACAGCCCCAGCCAACAGAGCTTCATGTTAAATTTAAAAATATCCAAAGGAAGCTAAGATGGAAAAAAAAAAAAAGAAACAGCACCCTGATCCTCCCCATTTATTAAATGTGATATTCTGCTACGTTATTAATAAAGCTTGTTCATCTGTTATTAGAGCAATGGAATTTCTCATAATCTCAAATACGGTAGATAAGGATTAGAAATCTACCAAAATAAGAGAGGCTCCATGCATAACTTCCACTATAAAAGAAAGAAATGCCAGAAAATAAATAAAAGAATTTTGACCAATCAAAAGAACAAAGAGACTTTTGATGTTAATCAAAACCAAACTTTATGCCAATTAAATGCCTTTCTTAAGTGTATATAGAGAGATAGCTGACAGGCAGCAGTAGAGAAGGGACAACCAGAGAAACCAGCCAAATGTGTCACATGAAGAAACTAAGCAAAAGACATTTTTCCACCCTGTTGATGGCCGAGAATACACAGACGATTGACGTCTGCAACATGTTTCCAAACTAACCACACTCCTAACAGCTGCTAACAAAATGATGACTAATACCAAAGTGGCTCGTAAACTGTTGACTACACAGCCAAACAAACTTTCACTAACCAAAGAAATTGCTCCAAGTCAAATAAATAAACATATATTATTTGGTTATATCTTTGAATTTCTGAGAAATGTTGCTAAGACTCTATAGTGCTTCTCTACACAATATTCACTAAAAAACTAAAAAAATTATACTTACTCTCCTAAATTTAAATATGATTTAGCTTTAAATAACCCACAAAGAGTTTATAACCCATAAAAAATAAATCAAGCAACTTATAGACTTTTTATGAAACAAACACTTTCTTTCCATACGATTCATTACTTAAGTCTTGCTACTAACTGGGATGGAAAGCCAAAAAAAAAAAAAAAAAAAAAAAACGGTTTATTGTCCCACATTAAGCTTAAGGGATCCCTGCCAACTAAATCATTAGTAGTGAGTGCTGCAAAGTTCATGGTTCAACTCACTTCCAAAAATCAATAATATTTAATGAACAATCAAAATAATCATTTCAGGAAATGGGTCAGGCTAAGAATTTGTCAGCATTCCTTCATACAAACAAACCAACTTTATCATTGGAAACTGCTTTGTGAAAAATGGTTGGTTCTCTGTACCACTCAAGCATGTACCTGATTCATTCAGCCAGATCATGTTGAAAATGGAGTACTACTGGCATATATAGCCCCACTCTCAAAAACTGCCTACAAAAAATAGTCAAGAGAACCAGTCAAGAGACCAGTTACCATCCAAGGCTATAGAACCCAGTCTGTCCTGCTAGTTACCCATAGCTGGAGGGAGAAAAGGATTCATACCTTTTCCAAGGGTATTAGCACATTAGTGAATGTAGTGGATTTGACTGGAATTTGAACTCAGCTCTCTGATTCATCAATTTGAGCTGCTATCCATTACTCCACCATGCCTCAAATGTCTCCTCATTGACACTCTTAATTCACCATTAATCCACTGGCCATGTTTTCATCTATTGTTTATCAATAGTAATATAATGTATAAAAGTGCAATTTGCATGTTCATTCTTATTTGACACAAATAAGCATACACACAGACACAACACTTGCAAGATGAATACTCCATGTTCAGAGAAACCCACCAAAGCCACACACCCACTTGCCAATATAACCCAATAAAGTCAGGAGATGAATAAACAATTTTTACGTATGAGAGATTTAGTCTTGTGTTCTTAATTAGTCTTTGCAATGATAATGTTACTGCATGACACCAACAAAACAAGTTATAATTTTTAAAAAAATAGACATTATAAGCTAAAACACGCACAATATACTGTTTATATAAATATATCCAGAAAAATATGCCATCTTCAGTTAATACAATTTTATTTTGAAACCAACTTGCATAATAAAATCTGACATAATGTAGTAATTCAAGGATGGATCTATTTATTACTTAATAACAACAGAAAAACAATCCATCACTTTATGCCAATAGAAATTAATATTAATATTTAATATATATGTTGCATGCAACTTGGAAGGAAAAAGTGAGTCTCTTAATTTTTAGTGAGAATCAGAATTTACATTTGGAGAAAACCACCAAAGCTACTCACAGTCTTTCCTAAATTAACTGATGAAGTCAAGAGATGAATCAATAAACATTTTAGGCATGAGAGATTTAGTCTCATGTTCTTATTTGTCTGTACAACAAAAGCATTTCACCACTTTTACATTTTAATATAATTGACCTTTCAAAAGATTTACCTGAACAGGTGAGTCTCGACAGTGTGAACCACCCCAAGGACCTCTGTAAGGATCAGGATTCATGGTCTAAATATAATAAAAAACAAAATAAAATTGGTTCACAGAATCCAGATAAAAACTGAAAAAAATAATTAAGCACTATGCAAAAAAACATTGAGGGTATATAATTTATATTCTTCAGGTGTTATAAGATACTAGGTTGGCCAGAAAGTCATGACTCACTTAGGAAGTGGTAAGGAAACAAATCTTGCTCTATGTCTGGTCAAATTTCCAAGGTGTACTGCATTTCGAGCATGTTCCACACAGTTGCACCATCAATGCTAAACTGTATTCTTGGCAGCTAGACTGCATGTACAACAAACTAAAGGAATATCCTGCTTTGGTCAATTGAGGTTGGGCTTTATTTCATACTAGCAGTAGAGCTCGGCGTTGCCCGGTCATGTAACAGTAAGAGATAGATCAAGTATCGACCATCATAAAGACTGAAAAATAAAATTGACAAAGATTATTGTTTAATGTTGGTAGACACGCATGTCTTAATTAGTTTTTTTTTTGTTTTCTTTTACGAATTGGTCAAACCCAAACTCAAACAAAAACATTGTTTTCAATTGTTATGAGTCTACCGATTGAATAGAATTTTATTACAATTGTCTTGTAAATGGAATTTTTAAAGCATTCTGAATGTAAAATAAAAGAAAAAAGTGTGCAAGACATTAAGAAACACTACCTAAAAAAAAAAATGTGAAGTTTTGTTTTTAATCGGTTGAAAAATGTAGGAAATCTGATCCCATATATAAATGAACACACACACAAACAACCTGGGTTTTATAATAAGTATAACTCGATATGAGTTGTCTGCCTTTCATTCTCGCTACAGCGATGCCTCTTAATCGTGTTTTCAAATTGATTTTGTGCAAAAACAATTGTTTTTCCAATTTTTGGTGCTGTCAGAACCACCACAAGGTAATTTTATGTAGTCCTGTGAAGTTTTGTTGAAATCGGTTGAAAAATGTAGGAAATCCGATCCAATATATAAACGTACAGACACACACACACAACCTGGGTTTTATAATAAGTATGATTTCAGCAAGGCAATGTGAGGCCACACACTGCCAAGTTGATTAAGGAGAAGTTCAAACAGATGAATGGGTGTTGAGATTCTTCCACATCTACCATTCAGGCCCAATGCTGCTCTGAGTGACTATGGCCTATTTCACTCAATGGCACACTTCCTCCACAACTAGCAATTTAACACTTTTGATGAAGTGAAGGAAGTTTGTTCAGAGTTTTTTTGATTCAAAGCCAGTGGACTGCTATCTGGGAGAGATTCGGATGCTGGGTGATCACTGGTAGAAGATTGTCAAGAATGATGGACTTTGGTTTTCTTTCCACTTCCTAAGTGAGCCAGGACTTATGGCCAACCTAATAATTCCTTTTGTATCCAATCAGTATCACTAAACAAAAACAAAATACCTTTTAAAAATGGTGAAAACTACCAGGATATTGGTGTGTGGTGGGGGAGCTAAGAACAAATACTGCAGAATTGGTTTTACATAAACAAAATAACCTGCTGATAAATCTTGCTATATAATATGCCAATGTATTTTTGTTTTCTTTTACATTTATGACTTTTTGCTGCACTAGAGTTATCTCCCTTGCACACTGGAGATACCAATTAGCAGCATGTTATGAAAGTGACTAATTGTTCAAAGATGTTTGAAAAACAGATAGGTGAAAATATAGATTATGTGAAATAATAATAACTGGAAAAATGTATTTTAAAAAGATCAGGTGAAAAAAGAAAGAATATAAAACACCACTTTCATATATGCTGTCATTTGTTATAGTACCAGTCAGATAATAAAAAATTTAGTAAAATTAGTTTCACTAATTACTAATAAAGGAATGTTCAATGAAATTATATATTTAGTAATATATATTTTTTTTTCTACTACTCTAAACATTATTTTGTGGATGCCCAGGTTTGAGTAGATACCCTGTTTTGTTTTTTTTTGTTTTTTTTTTAAACCATGTGAATTATATCTACTGGCTTGAACATTCAAGAGGCTTAAAAAAGAATGTGCTCTCTTGCAGTGTTCAAACCTGTGTTCCCCTTTATAGGAGAAATCACTGCTTGATCTGGCATGCTTTAGACAGCAGAAATTGAACCATGATAAGCTTTGAGACTCATTGGCCCAAAATAACATTCAAGTAATATGAAATAATGTCAGATAAAAAATTCATTGATTCCTTAGAATTATCTCATCCTCTTCAGTATGGGATCAAATTGTATAAAGACAAGCTGGATATGGAAGTAAGTATTGAATTCCTATTTTGAATCTGAGATTCAGTCATCAAAAGTTGAAAGAACTTTGTTATATTTAGACTAATCTAAAATGCTAAAAATCAGATTATCATAAAGACTATCTCCTTGGCTTTCTTATGAAAATCAATTGTCATAAGATAATTATAAGACTTACCTGATATATACCAAAACCTGTGGGAACATTGTATCTCCAGGTACTGAGAGATGTAAGTCCCATTAAATATGGACTGGCACCATGGTAAGCATTTCTGAAACAATTTATAGTTATGAAGTTTGAAATCATTCACTTAAATTAGGTACCTCTACAGAAACCACAATACCTAAAGTTTAAAATGATTTTTTTTTAAATGAAAAATCTTTCTTGAAGCTTTTATTTTAGTTTTAATTTCAAGCTAATAGATTAAATTTAATATTTCCAATAAATAAAATAGTTTGCTCTATTTCAAAAACTAATTTAAATTGACTGGAAGGATTTTTTTTTGATAAAATACCTGATTAGCACCCTTTTTTAGTCACCTTTCATTTCAATATAATTCTCTTTATTAAAAAATCTTCCAAAAATAAAAACTTTATTTGAGGAATATTACATTTTTTATAGTATAATTAATCTGATTTGAAATAAATATTATTTACTTTAAATTTAGAATATTGCAGAAATGCATTTTTTTAGCACAGCTGTAGCTGTTTTATTTAAGCTGTTGACATGTTTGATAAATTGATGTTTATTTAATGTTGTTTTATAGGGGCTTTAGCTGTAGAAAATAATTGAATATAATTTTTATGTAATCAGTAATCTTAAAAATTTAAGAAAATATTCTCTGTAATCTAATGTTTGTTGGATTTTAGATACTTTCTGGCATTAAATCTACTACAGTTATCACTCTTATTTTCTGATAAGGCCATGTATGATCATCTGTATCTACAAAAATCAGCAGGTTTATACAAATACAAAAATTTTTTAAAAATTCTTTTAAAAATATTGGTGCTTGCTGATTTGCACAAAACTTTTCCATTTATGATTAATAAATATAGTTTTTACTTAATAAAAAAGGCTAAAAGGCTGAAATTAAAACAGAATTTTAAAAGATTTAAAACTTAATAAATTATTGTAATTAAAATCAAAAAGAAAAGAATTCTTGTAAAAATTCATTATTCATTATAGTGTCTTTTTAATATATCTTATTGTGACACCATTTAACAGGACAAAAAAAAAAAGAAAAGAAAGGAAAAAGAGAAAGGAAAGAAAGGAAAAGAGAGGTGAGACCCAAGCGTAGATGATAAAAAAAAACACCCACGACCAGGGGCCTTGACAATGTTATTTTGATAAGTAGCAAATGGCGAAAAAGGTGTCATTACCATTGCAGAAAAATTCTAAGTGGATAAGGGAATCGACTATGTTCTGGCAACGAACTTGTGTTATCGGGGATAGATAACAGCTGCTTAATGCGGGCAAACATCTAATTAGCAAACCACAGACCAACTAGCTAAGAAAACTCCAATTGATAATGTTATTTTGATAATTGAAAAAGAACAGGTGAAATACAGGGCTTTGGATAGATAAGAAAAATTAACCGTGTCGTCTGCTAAGCCGCAGATGAAACCAACCCTGAGTAACGACTGACTGTTTTTTGACAAGACATCTTCGGTTGTGATAACAAAACTATGTTATCAGAAATTGGCACCAAAGAATGACTAGAACAATGGAACTGTTTTTTCGGGACGACGGTTGACTGTGTTTTGCTGGACGACCACCCATTCTGATAATTAGCGAAAATCTGACTGACGAAGTCCAGATGAAGAATTGAGGTTATCACATCACTGGTCGCATTGTTCTGTTGGCGGCCAGAGAAAATGAGAGCTGTGATTAAGGAAAGAAAAGGAAAAGTAAAAGATAATTTTTTTTTTAAGCAAGATATATTTTTTTTTCCTGAAACAAAGCCGCTGGATCGCACACGCCCAGCTGGACATCATTGGCCAGTGGTGATCACGTGGCGCGGAAGGAGGGCCGCCGCCCCACTTAGAGGATGGGTATGAGAGGTTGCTCTGAAGAAGTGGGGGGAGGACAGTTGACGCCCCTCTGAAGTATGGTGAGAAGGTGGGAGTGAGAAAACTCCCAAAAATGGAAAAAAGTGGAAAATTCCTAACCAAAAATAAAAAGAAGTGGATATGTATTTAGAATTATTGAGGAACCTCCAACGCATGACAAACCCACCTCGGTTTTGGTCGGCGTCCATATAAGCAAAAGTGCTTGCGAGCAGGAAATCAGTTGAGTAGAGTACAGCTCAGTCCGCAGAGTTTCGAAGAGTTCAGGCGCTCAGTTGAAGCAGGCCTCACAGCTGACTAAGATTAAGCGCAACTTCAAACTCGTCTTCAATCCAAGAACAATTTATTTTGAAGAGTGACTTAGATCCATACCACCAAAATAAGTTTTTGACTTTCGCCTGAAGACACACCAGAACCAATTTCTTAAAGAACAGACAACTTAAAGTGTTAAAACTCGCCTAACAAAGACAACGTGTCACAATCCATATAGCGAATCGGGGACGCAGTCCTATGTATCCAACAACTAGACATAAAAGTATTGTTATCCTTTTTGATACCTTGAACTTTTGAGTTATCATTTTATTTCTTTTATACATATTTGTGCGATACCACCCTAAGCTTGAACCCAGTTTGCATTACGGCCCTAACGACTGATTGATTTAGTCTGCCTAAGATCAATTCACTGGCGTGGGTAGGCAGACTGAAGATCAACACAGTTACTTTGGTAACCAGACGTTGGAAGCGAGTTAGGAACAGCGAGGCTGATATCGAATCTACCAGATTCCCATCCGAATCACCCAAAAGGTTAGAACGTCACATTTGGGTGCCGCGACTGATACCAAGCCAGTTGGTGGGTCACAGGACAGGACAACACGACTGATGCAACAGGCGGGCGTCACGTTTGGGAGCGACACCGAGCGAAGCAGCGAGGAGCGGCGTCTGTGTTTAGGGGCGTCACATTATATAAAAAAGCAATTAAAAGCTTTTTTAATTAAATAATGTCATAGTTTTATTGCATATTTTATTTTATGATTCAGAGCAGATTTTAGGTAAATGGTGTTTCTGTTTTACAAAAACAAGTTGATAATTTAAATTCTCCAAGGAGTCTTGCTTTTAACTAATATAAATATGAAGAGGGTAGAATTTTAATTTCTCAAAATTTCCTAAAATTAAGTAAATAGGGTTAAAAAAAAAATTAATTTATTTGTGAATAAGTCCTGAAAATTTAATTAAAATCCAACAATTTTTGTAAGAATTTCTAAATCAATGTTTTGTTTTGTTTTTTTTATACCAAAAAATAAAAATTCCTATACTAATCTTTAGCCCACAGCTGATGCAAGAAAAGCATAATTCTGAACCAAAATTTTGAACATGCCAGAAAGTATTAAAAAAATTTAATAAAATAATAAAAAAAACTTTGGCCTTTTTTAATAACAAACATTTTGATAAAACTGTTTTTATCAGGTTTGGGGCCTTTTTTCATTGGATACTTTTTTGGGTTTTTTTTTAGCAAATTAATGGCAGTACCTAATTTTAATTAATAGTTTTTGGATTATTAAGAAAGATCAAATTTGATTGGATCACTGATTATGTAACAAAAGTGTATGAAAAATATGCACCAATGTAGCAAGTGAAAAGACTAGTCTATATTGCATACAGGATGGCAGAAAGAGAGTGATGATAGCAGGAAGAGTGTGGGCATGGCAGGAACAGAGTGATAGTAACAGAAAGCATATGAGGATAACAGGAAGTGTGTGAAAGTGTCAGAAAATGTGCGACAATTTAAAATGGAGAATTAAGAACAGTAAATGAGTGTTTAGAAAGAGGAATAAAAAAGGGAGGACCTAGCACATGTCATCAACAAAGCTATGAGTTAAATAGCAGAGTAGACTGAGCTCTATAGCCTTGAGAAACTGACAGTCAAGAAAGACTAAAAACTGAATGATAATAGCTAGGTTATACAACAACACCAGAAATTTATAGTTTAAAGTTAACTGTCCCTGTATCTTCAGTGTTTTCTCAATGTACAGTTGTAACGAACATTAGCTATATTTCATTCCCTCTCTCTCTACACAGATATGATTCCATCACTAAAACAGTCCAGAAATTCCACTTAAAACCCACCCCTAGATCACAAATTTTGCTTAGTATAAATGGACATCCCTTTTAAAGTTCTATATAAAAAGGACAAAATGTTTAATTCAGTTGTTACATAGTCTTACAAAATACCAGCTCCTTGGTACCAATATACCATTTAACTAGAATCCACTGCAGATGTGATCATATATAGGCTTTATTTTAGGAAATTAACAAGCCTATATTTCTGTTAACCAAAAAATTAAAAAGAGGAAAAAGGAAAGAGAAGGGAAAGAGCAAACGAATGAAAGGGAGAGAAGAGGAGGACAAGTGAATGAAAGGGAGAGAAAAGGAGAGCAAGCAAATGAAAGGGAGAGAAAAGGAGAGCAAGCGAATGAAAGGGAGAGAAAAGGAGGACAAGTGAATGAAAGGGAGAGAAAAGGAGAGCAAGCAAATGAAAGGGAGAGAAAAGGAGAGCAAGCAAATGAAAGGGAGAGAAAAGGAGAGCAAGCGAATAATTTTAATTATATTTCAATATCAAAATATGAAAGAGACAAAAAAAAAAAAAAAATCCCAACAAACATCTCCTTTGTTCAGTAATCCTATTATTTTAGAACATGACTATTTTTGTCAGGAATTTCAGCTTTTAAAAATTAAATTGATGAGATAAAATAAAATTATACAGATAATAAATAAACTGACCTTGTTCCAACCACTTCAAATGTTCCTGTATACATTCGTGACATTAGCATTGCAAGATCATTGGCCTCAGAACCACTGTTGGTGAAATACACAACCTACAAATGAGGTAAAAAAAGTTCTTTTATTAAAAAGACTGAATCATCTAATTCAAGAAAGCTTCCAGTTTAAAGATTATGTTCCAAAACCGAGACAAGTAAAATCTAATTTTGGAATATAAAGCATAAATCATTTTCCTGTTGGATCTGTAATATGAAGTATTACACAATAGTTTGAAAAATTTGATCATTTAAAAAAAAAAAAAAAAAAAAAAAAAAAAACTTTCTCTGACAGTTTCTACCATATTCTTCAATTTTAAGACAGTAGCTGGAAAGCATGTTCTTTTATAAAATATTAATTTGCAGGATTGTAGCTTCATGTTATGGTAATTTACCCACGCACACATGGACTTTCCTGCTATAATTAGGAGCAGGTACTGCCTTTTGGGGGGGGGTGAAGTTTCCAGCAGTCAGCTCTGACAGTCGGACTGAACATTCTTGCTGTAACACTTGTTTGTATATGTTTGCATTACTGTTTCTGTTAATATATTTGTTTAACACAATTCCTCTCTTGTGTCTTTATTTCTGGCCCTAACAAGGCCACAACATGACTGACATTTCCCCCCTAATTTGTAATACTATGCAGTTATCAATGACATAAATACAGTTTCAAACTTTACAGTTGTAAATTGTAATGAATAGACAATACTGAATATCAGACTTATTCTGCTAAACTGACTGTTAGTACTTAAACAGCCTTTTATACAAAGTGGTTAGTATTGAAATGGGTATGATGGGATATATTCATTATTATCACATAACTAAAAACAAAGTTGGAGATAACTCAGAAGTCAGGGATTGATCTGACACTGTTTTTGTATTATGAACATGAACTCTTTCTAAAATGACAAAAATATTAATATTTTTCAATTCAGACAAATATTGTGGATAGAGGAATGTCAAATGAATGTCAATCTACAAAAATTATTTAAAAAAACCCCAAAAAACTCGCGTTTTACCAGTAGGCTAGCTAATTTAAGTAGGTCCAAAAATGATTAATACTGGAATTTATAAGCAGGCTTTATAAATGATAAATAAACAAGCATTAAGTGGTGTCTGTGCTTAAATGTGGAGGTTTTGATCAAAAAATTTAAAGAGAAAGAGCAAAATACTACCTTAAGATTGCTTGGTAACTTTGCTACCAGTTCACTGGCGTATTGATGCAGTGTAGGATGCATGTAGATGTTGGTTGTATGCCATAGATTCTTCATCTGTTTCTCTGCTGCCTCTACAACCACACTACATTGAGAAAAGCAGACAGTAATTAAACAATAACTCAAAGTTGCCAGGTTAAACAGAGAAATTTTAATCAACCAGTGAAGTGCAGATACATTTAAAAAACAAATAAAAATGATGGAAAAAATAAGAATGTAAAATGATAAAAGTGAAACAAAAAAAAAAAAGAAAGACAAAGAGTCAAAAAACAAACTGACCAATAAAGAATACAGACCAATTCAGCCAATGAGAGCAGGTAACATTTAATAACCAATCACAAGAGATTATTTCTACTGACTGATGTTGTCATTTTACTAAGTTTGTAAAGTACACATTTATCAGTTATGTAAGCATAGTTTGAAATTTGTAAATAATAACAAAGCCCAAATAATTCTTTAAGAAACGAGTGATCAATTTTACACTGTATTTATATTATGAACAGAAAACCACCTTCTAAAAAAATGAATAAATAAAATAAAAAATAAAAAAAAAATCTAGTTTTTTCTTTTTATTCAGACAAATTCCATGACTTGTGGAGGTCTAATAAATGCTAGTCTATAAAAAAAGATGCTAAAATTTTTCCATACATTTTACAAGCAAACCAGTCAATTTAAGCAATATTATTTTGAACAATTCCTCTCCAACATTCTTTCTACATTGTTATTAGAACAGGTATTAGAAAAGTGGAAGGAAATATCTCTGAAGGGTTCATTTGACAATTTCCAAGGGTTTAATAGCATCTTTCAAAAACATACCATTTTGAATTTAATAAAACTGTTTATTTATCAAATTTTTTTTTTTTAATTTGTTCAATTTTGCTTTCTTGGTTTTGAAAATTCTACAATTCTGGAAAGGAGAAATCCCACCTAAAAACTTCAGAACAACTGGATGAAAATATTACTGAGTGACCTTTGAGTTAGGGTTAGGGACAAATTGCAGTTACCATTTTGCAGTCACAGGTGTTATCAAAAGAATAATCAGTTTCAGGAAGTGGCTTAGGAACACTTCAGATGCACAGTAGAGTCAAATGAAAGAAAATAGGATTTTTTTTTTTTTGATAAATAATTCCATTGAAAACTTTACAGACATATTTTTTCTAAAATCACGAATTTTCTAATATTTTTGATTTTAAAAAAGGTATCTAAATTTTTTAAAAGATAACAATTAAAAAAATTTGTTTAATGTTTAATGACCTATCAATCTTTATGAGAGGGTCAAACAATTTTTTTTTTTTTTTTTTATTTGGATAAAGTTGGATTGCTTTCAAAAAAATTTTTTTTTCAGTGTTGTCTTGCTTTTTTAAAAATATCCATTGCTTTCAGAGTTGTGTTGTTTTCAAAACTTTTCACCTGGTAAGTGTCAAAAGGTCCCTTTTTTTATCGTCAAATATTTAATTGGTATTATATTTTTTGTATAGTTTAACTTTTTTTAAGAAAAGTTAAGATTGTATTGGGGTTTGTTTTTTCAAAAAGTTCTTTCAAGTTGTTAACATTGTAAAGAGATTGCCGAATATGTGTTAAGTCACTACAATTGAGTAGGAAGTGTTTTACGGTATAAGTTTCTTGGCATGCTATGCATTCAGGAAGATCTTTGTCTTAGATGTCCATCTTTTCTATGCTTTCTGTCTTATTTGCATTTTGTTTTTTGTTATGTTTTGACCCTTGGATTACTTTTGGTTCTGTTTGTTTATTGAGGGATGTTCCTTTTGGTTTTTTTCTCTTTTGATTCATTTGTTGATTTTTGTTTGGATGAAGACCGTTCCCTTGTTTGAGATGGGATGATTGTTTTTGATTTGTTGGAACTTTTTGAACTTCTCTGTCTTGAATGTCTTTCTTGGTTATCGGTTTCCATCAGTTCGAATTTGTTTTCATTTTCAATTAAGACAATTTCTGTTTTCTTTTTGTTGTGTTGATTCTTCAAAGGAGATTTCATTTTTGGAGGTGAGGAGTTATTTAATTTCTTAGTGGTGATGGGGAGGATTGGCATTTGCCATTGCTTGGATTGTAATTTTCTTTGGTTTGTGACATCTTTGGTTTCGTAGATCTGGTATTGGGGGTTTTCCTTTAGATCCGATTCAATATTGGATCTAGTTGTTGAACCGATTAAATTTTTCTTTAGTATCTCCAGTAGTGATCTTAGTTCTTCTACCAGATTGGACAGATTGTTTTGTGTTATTTCTTGTTTTTGAATCAAGTTGTTTGTCATACTGGCTATATTTGCATATGTTGATGCATTCTAAGAACTCTCAACTATCCTTCTTGCCTCCAGGTATGATATATTTTTTGTGCATTTAATTGAGGACATTTTTTTTTTCTTTCTTCCAGACATCACATTCTTTTGAGTCTGCTGCATGATTTTGTTTGCAGTTTGCACATTTTAATGGGAGTTTGCAGTCAATGTGATCCCCGATTTCTCCACAATCTTTACATGTTGGTGATCTGGTACATCTTTCCTTGTGATGCCCAAACTTTTGGCAGTTGTGGCATCTCAGAGGATTTGGTATGTATAGTTCCACTTTTTCTATCATATATCTGATTTTTATTTCTGTAGGAGGTTTTGGAGTGTTGAAATTTAGAATATAAGTGTTTGTTGGAGTCATTTGGTTGTTTTTCTTTATCAATATTCTTTGACGCCTTGTGGCCTTAGTTTGTTTTTTTATCTAGTGTGCAGAGTGAGAGATCTGGGCTTCTTACCACACCCTTTGAGGAGTTCAAGGAAGTGTGGTGGTAGGCTTTTATCTTAAGCTTAGAAAAAAAATTTTGCTTCAGTAACATATTTGCTGAAGTTTTATTTGGAACTTCTAAAATGGTGTTGTTCCTTAGTTTTTTTTATTGATAAGGTTTTTATTAACGATTTCATTGTTTTTTTAACAATGAATGGAGACAACTTAGTGAAAGGGGTGTTCTCTATGGACTCTAAGACAATAAATCTAGGGAACACCTTTTGATCACGTTCGTTGTCTGACTCGGTTTCGGAGTATAGGCTCTCCGAATTGTCTTCAATATGGGGTCTTTTGTTTTTATTTGTTGCCATGAGTTTTATTTTTTTTTTAAAAATTCACCTTCCTTGCTCCACACCCTCCTCAGAGCCCATCAGAGCCATCATTCGCCCTATTATCTCAGGGATACAAGGAAGGTATACTTGCACTAGTAAATGGCTGTTAGCATTTCAGGTTTCACTTTGTTTTCTTGACCCGTTTTGGATGAAAAAGTCAGTTAAAATCCTTATCTGTAACGGCTTTTCCTTACTAGTAGATTGACCCTTGCCACTGCCTTCTAATACTAATGATCTATCTCTTGTTTGTAGTAAAGTGTCAGACAGGTTTTGTGTAACATTTTATAGGTTTTAGATAGATGGGTTTTTATGCGAGTAAGTATTAGAGCATGACATGACTAGCTGATTGATCAGATCGGCCTCTCCGACCGCCCGTCTAGCCCAGGTAATGGGCAAAGTGATGTGTTGCATGACTATGACCTCTTTGCACCCAGGCCATGGCCTGATCAATCACCAGGTTCCCATCCCCAGATGACACGGTTCACCACCCACAGCCAACAGGTGGCCCCATTGAGGGACTTTTACCCTCTGCAGAGATGCAGTCAACATATTCTGAAGTTCCGCCAATGGGGCGATAAAAAGTTTGATTCAAGAGATTATATTAAAACAAAAGCAATTTTTTAAACTGCAATATTTAAAATAACATATCTAAAACCTTTGATACTTCTTTAGTATTTTCTTTAGAGATATAAAGATTTAAAAAAAAAAAAATGTATGATAAGGCATCACTTTGTTGTTGGGCACTCAATTTAAAAATTATTATACAATTTCACTAACTGAATTTATCTAGTATTGATACTTAATAAATAAATAATATTAAATCATATCTTATCTTATGGTATGAGGAGTCTAAATAATAATAAAGATTAAAATGTAAAAAACACATTAAAAAAAATTTAATATTTATTTATACAATAAAGTCTACATAATACACACATATCTTAACATGCTCTAAAGCAGTGATTCCCAGACATTTTTTTTTTTTTTTTAATCTTTATTATTATTTAGACTCCTAATACCATAAGACAGGATATGATTTAATATTATTAAATGATTTACTTTAATTATTTATTAAGTATCAATACTAGCAATACTAGATAAGTGTACCAAAAACACAACCCTAACATCCCCCACAAATATATAGTCCACCTTTGATAAGATTTTCTTGGTGCTTGAATTACATATCAAATGAATATCTTTATTATTTCTCATAATAATTGTTATATAAATGGGATACCCTGTAAAGTGAAGGCAAAATACACTTAAGTGTATTGTGTGTTGGTTCAGATGTGCTACTGCCACCCTCTGGCTGCCCACCTTTTTTTTGTCTCATTGCCTAGCTGGACCTTTCCACAGCCCACTTTGGGAATCACTGCTCTAAAGAATAAGATGTAATATATAGATATCTTACAATGCCTCTAAAGCAAAAGACATACCTCTAAGTCATTCAAATGGGCTATGTTGATAAAATGTTCTCACTACATCAAGAATTATTGCATTGGTTTCAGCATAATATACACCAAATTTTCCTGTCAAATATTAAAAAGCAAAATTCTTTAAAAAAGGAAATTTTCAGTAGAATTAGAGCCAAATTCTTTTCTTGTTGTCTTCAGAAATAACAGATTTTTGAAAATTATTAGGATTTAGCAGAGGACTCTTATATTCATTTTGTTTTCTTCTAATTATTTTTTTTAATGCATATATATTAGGAAGCAATCCCAAAACAACATGTGGCATATTTGAAACTACTTCATTAATAAGCATAAACAAAAGGTTATAATGATTCAACTGCTATTTTCCTTATTTCAGTTTTAAATTTCTGTGCAAACCAGAACAGAAGTGGCTGTTGGAATGTTTGATGTCTGGCACACTGCAACTTTGGATTGATGGGTATCACTAGTTCTCAATCATCTAAATCTCTCACGTGATGCCATGCCCGAGTAAACTGTTTCAGTTGGAGGGCAAAACTGACATGAGGGGGTGGTGTTAACATGACGCAACTGGGCAAAGGACCTCCTCAACGTAGGACACCAGCCAGGGTAGAAGGATTCCTCAGATGAACTATAATGCCCCCCAACCCCACCGTGTTCACAACCAAAGTAAGCCACCTAGTTGGAATGTGCTCTGTCAAGTTAAAATACCTAAGGCATGCTAAATGATGAGCACACCAAGAAACCAATTGTGGAGACCCAGGCTCTGGCACACAACCACGATGGATGGAGGAGAATGATGGACAGCTCAGCATGTTGATATCCCTTTCGCCTTTAACCCCTAGTTTGGGGTTAAAGGTGAAAGAAGAAAAAAAAATACAAGAAAATATCCCCCATGTTGATGTTCCTCCCTTTCATGATTATTCCATTTCTTCTTGCCTCTGCAAATAATGACAACTTTTTTGCTTGCCACAATTTTTGGTTGAGTCAGAAGTATCAACAACATTAATTTCTTTGATAAGAAACCCAGATTTATCTAGCTTGCGGTTCACCCATTCCAAAATGTTTTGTTTGGGTCAGCTTTGATTTTTGTTTTAGAGCGCATTAACTTTTTCCAGGTTATTTGATGCTTAATTTTGTCATTCTGATAAACAATAGATAGATCCAGTTACTTTCCCACCGTCATAAGGTTGCCTCTCCATATCTTTTCTATAAATAATTTCATGGTAATTGTTCAGATGAGCTCTTTGCTATGGTACCTAGACTTTTTGAATGTAAGCACTGTACTAGACTGGCATCAAGATCTCATCAATTTCAGTTGAGCTGGTTAGATTTAACCATAAGTCCTATGCTAACATTTTTCTTTTCTTGCATTTCTCACTTGTGAAACTCTCTTCTGGCTCTATGTTTTCCAGCCAACTTTAATCTGCAAAAAATTCTTACACACTCTGTAAACCCTTGTGTCTTAGTGGCTTTAATACCTTGCCTGGGGTGATATACTGCATACAGTGCACACAAGAAAAAAAAAAAAAAAAAAAAAAAAAAAATGGCAGACCTAGGTATTGGCAATAAGAGGCCCCTTTTGAAAGTGGAGGGATACCCCTCTGCACAGGGATAGACAATCAGTACATTTCTCTGACAGGTCAAATGAGTTACCCATAATGTATATAATACTCACGGATGGCAATGTCCCACACTGACAGTCACAATGCCTGCGAACAGATCCAAGTATCTTTTACCAGTTGTATCCCATAACCACTGCATATAACCCTTGTGAATAAACACAGGTTGTTTGTAGTATGTGAACATGGCAGGATTTACATTGGACTTGCGAATTTTGACAGCATCTTCAAAGGAGATTCCCTGAAAAGAAAAATATCAACAGGATAATGTTGGCATTTATGCATACAGCAGATTGTTTTGATTGATTGATTTTTTATGGCTTACCAGCCCTTTGTGGGTTATTTAAAATTGAAACATTTTTGAGAGGGTTGTCATAATTTTTTTTTTTTTTGTAGATAATGATTTTTTCCAGGTACAAGTGCTACTATTTAACCCATAGCTGGAGAAGAGATAGTATTTGCATATAACTGAATGTAACATACACACATATTATATCTATATATATATATATATATATATATATATATATATATATATATATATATGTGTGTGTGTGTATACATCTCTCCCACCCAAGTCTCAGAGATGACTGAGGATTATGAGGCCCCAGCTCTCAACACACAAGATGCTGCTCCTCTGGTTTCTGTAAGGAATAGAGCTGCTAGGTCAAACTGCTCAGAAAAAAAAAAAACTACCTACTATTAAGAAGGGAGGACAATAAAAGGACAAGAATTAAGACAGGAGATAATGATTGACATTGCATTTAAATTTTTGAAGATCAGACTTAATTGGGAAGCAAGAAGCCAGAAGAAAGTTCCATAAGCGAGAAGTGCAATAGAAGAAACTGTTAGCACAGAACTTAGCTATATTTAGCCGTTTCAACAACAAAATGATGAGACCTTACTGCCAATATAGTACTGCACTTAAATTCATAAAGTCTAGGTACTATAGACAAAAGCTCATAAGAACAATTACCATGAAAGTATTTATAGTAAAGGCAAAGGGAAGCTATGTTACAGCAGTTGGAAAGGGACTGAGATGAATTTTAAACCACATCCTTTAATTTATGAGGGGAGACTACTCTCCTACTACTGCCTATGTTTAGGGATATCTTGGGAGAATATGATATATAAATTCTATATAGAATTTCTGTATCTCCTATATTTTCAGATTACCTGTAGTGGATTGGTAAATAGGATTGTACCTATAAGTAGAAGAGATATAAAGTATATAGTAAACTAAGAGACAAGGATGAAGTTGACTACTGTTCATGTTTTGTAGAACAACACAATACAACAATATGGCACTGCAGATAGGATGATTAAGTCACTTGGATCAATCATAATTTGTTGAGACTTGGATCCAATGTTTTGCAGCCCAAGCCAGGGCTAATAAATTGAAAGAGAACCAAGCAAGAGGGGAAGAAAAGAAAATAACTGACCTCTTTCTAACTCCAGCAGGTTGTGAAGCGATAATGAAAATTTCTGTTATGACATACGCCATGTCTTTTGTCAAAATTTTAGAAATTATAAAAAGAAGATTAAAATTTAAAAAGAAACTTGTCATAATAGAAAGAAACAAATTCCTGTTCATTAAACAGAAATAAGATGAATTAATTATGCAATATCTCCACAGATTAAGAGAAACTAACAGATTCTGTGAATTTGAGAAGCTTGGAACTCAAGATACGACTCGAGGATAAATTGATTCAGTTACAGTTGATTGAATGTATGGCTGATATATTTCATAAATATAAGATACTGGAACAATTACAATTGAATAATTTGTCTAACAACATGTGTTAAAGTTATACAACAGTTGGAATTGATTAAAAAAATATCATTTTACTGAGAAAAATTTTAAAATGTACAGTATATAAAAAGGAACACAAGAAATGCAAAAACTTTAACTATGGGAATGAAAGTGACAGAAAAAGTTCCTTGTTTTGGAAAAATTTGCCCAAGAAAAAAACATTTTTAATCAGTATGCAAAGTTAAAAAGAAAATAGTATGGAAAAAGAGAGAATTGATGACATTTTTTCAACACAAAGACCTATGGAAAAGAATTCTTTTGAAAAAATTAAATTAAATGAAATGATGTTTCCAATGCAAGTGGATATGGAGAGTGAAGTGAATCCTAAGAAATTTCGTAGAAGAAATGGGTAAACCGAAATTGAAAAAAAAAAAGAAAAAAAAAAGACATCTGAAATTGAGAGAATTTGATCAATCTTTTATAAAAACTTTGGGATACATCAATGGAACTTTTGAAACGTGTGATCATTGAAATTATTCCTATTACAGTAGTAGTATGTAAAAAAATTCATGGCCTACCAGGTTTAGACGTTCTTAAGCTGAAAGATATTATAAAGAAAAAAGGCATAAATTAATGATGAAAAACAGTGTTACATGCAATGGATATGTGATAGTACCACCACAAACAGTAAGAAGAGATATTTAAAAAAAAAAATGTACAGGACGATGTTCATTCTGGGATAACAGCTATGCAGAGGAGATAAAATTGGCAGCATGGTGGCTAAGGACATTATCACGATATAGAAAGATATGTGCACAAATGTCCAAAATGCGCAAGAGTAAAGAATCTTTGATGAAGAAGACTGCATTCATAGCCAAAGCATACGGAAACATAGTTTTGTGTTAATATGGACCATGTACACGTTAATGACATGGAACTATTTCTAATTTTAGTAGACTCTTCTTCGGGATGGCCTGAAGTCATTAAAGTTAAAGATAGAATAACAACTACAATAAAACAAATACTAAGAGTGTTATTTTCTAGAAATGGGGTCCCTAAAACATGGTAGTAGCAGCAACCATTGCATGTCAGTGATATTTGTTATCTCCCTTTCGTATTTTTTATGTGCCATGTCCCTTCAGGATGTAGGCGATCATGGCTCTCCATTTCCCCCTATCCTTTGTAGTTCTCAATATGTTTTGTCCTTTTGCTACTTCTCCCTGACCCTGTTCTGTCATCCACTTGCTTAATCTTGCTAGGTATGTCATGCATTGCTTTCCCTTGTCTCTCTTTCTCTTTATCCACCCTGTGAGCATCAGATTCTCCAAGCTTTCCTTTCTCATTACGTGTCCCAGAAATTCCAGCTGCCTTTTCCTGATGTTAAGTATAAGCTTCCTCCTTGTTTGCATCCTCTCCAAAACCTCATCGTCGCTCACATGTATGGTTCATAGAACCCTTAGCATCCTTCTGAATAACCATACCTCCGTTGCCTGAAGTTTTTTCTTCATCTTTGAGGAGGCTGTCCAATATTTGCTGCTGTAAATGAGGATAGCTGTTGAGTATTCTTTTCTTTATTACTAGCAAAATCCTCCCGTCTCATAATACTAGCTTTTGGAATGTGTCATTGGCCACCTCAATATGTCTTTGGATATCAGCGTTGCACTTACCATCCTCTGTCAGAACACTTCCGAGATATTTAAATTTCTGCACCAGCTTGATTTTAGTGTCCTCAACCTGTAAATCATATTTCAGGCTTATCTCTTTGCTGATGACCATGCATTCTGTCTTCTTGTAGTTTATGCTTAGTCCCTTCTTCTCACTCTCCTTTGCTATCTTCTGTAGGAGGTTTTGTAATTTCCTTTCAGTGTCTGCTATCAGCATGGTGCCATCTGCATATCTTATGTTAAGGTTGTGGCTGCCAATCATGAATCCTAATAGGATTTCCAGATCTCTCAGAATTGCCTTGCTGTATAGGTTGAATAAGTCCGGTGAGAAGAAACATCCTTGCCCTTTCTATTTTTGTATATCTTTTTTACTACATCATAAAGTCAGTTATGAAACCATTACCAAACAATTTTGGTATACTTTTGAATATTTACTATGCAGGTGTGTAGTAGAAAATTTTTTCATGTAAAAGCAAGCAAGGACACAAAATATGTTGAGTACACCCTGATCTATATGATTAATAGAGAAACATTAGCTTAGGTGCATTGAAAAGGAAGGAGATTATGTTGAAAGATACATGTAACATTTTTCATTATCATGTCACCACTCAACCTGTAGCTTCTGAACTCTGATTATTACCACTTGGACAACTATCTTGACTACTATAACATCCACAATATGAAGACTGGCTAGCAGTACCAGAACTTGTTGAATGCTGTCAAAATGGATGTGATGGCCAGCATGAGTGGTTACATTGGTTTATTTTGTTTAACAGCATATCAACCTGTATGGGTTACTTAATATCAAAATCTAAATATTTGAACACAATTTTATAGCTTCAGCTAAATATATTTTGAAAGTAATCCTATGCCTTCAACTACAGATATTTTGTACATAATTTTATAATTTCAAGGTTAGTGTATGTTTTATAGATATATAGTTTGTAGATGATCAGTTGTAGGTGTTATATGTGTTGGTATAAACCTATTTCTTTAAGGTAGGACATTATGCTGACAGTTTTAGTATTTTCAAATAGTATTCTCATGTTAATTTCCTTTCAGTATTTATGTCATAGAAGTATATTTAGTTTAGTTTAGGCACATACAAGAAAAAAGAAAATACCAAAGTGAGATAACAAATATCACTGACATATGTGATGGCTGCTACTGCTGCTGCTACCATACTAAAGAACAAAGAAAAATAAACTTGACCTTTGAAAACTATATATATAATTTAGTTAGTCTCATGGTTAAGTGTTAGTGTTACAAGTGTTGACAAAAAAAATTAAACAATTTTTATTCAGAATTATAAAATTAAAAAGAATATACACTACTAGCAAAGAATAAAAATTAAGTGAAGATGGGTATGTGGCTGAGTGATTAGAAGGTTCACTTTCTGACCATGAGACCCAGGTCTCACCACGGTCTGTTTATCAGGAAGGTGACTTTCTGATGTTATCGGACTGTAGAGATAGATCCCAGTGTGCAGTGCCTTTGGAAAGTGCCTGAAAAATCATACGACAGGTTGACCCAAGCCTTGCGAGTGAAATTGGGTAGACAGAACACTTGGAGGCTGTCAATAACTGTGCTAGCACAAAGTCATCATAGCTGAGGGCTTGAGCATGCTGGCCTTGTTCAAATTGTTGATCACACACTCTTTCCAGAATGTAACTAAGGTCTGCTCATCATAGTTGCAGTATAAACCACAGGTGGGCTCTGTGGGTGTTGAATAAACACAAATGCACCTGAGCAAGCATCTCCAATAGGGATTGCCTAGCCGTCCTAGTAAGCAGGTATCCTTGAATACGAGTGGCCAGCTATATATATTTAGTTAAAATGTGTTTCACTGTGATGACCAGCATAACCAAGAATCATTTGACTTGAACATCCAACCAGAGTTCAACACATGGCTAAGGTTGATAAGCATGTTTGTCATGAAAAAAGAAGAAAAGAAAAGGAATTGTTGTTGAGAAGGATAATTAGAGGAATGAATCTTCTACTTTTGGGTTTAGAAATAAACTAGCTAAATTACCTGCAACTTTGTGAAAAAATAAAATAAAAATAAAATAAACCCTGTCACTTAATGCTACCTATGCGTGAAGACTGTATTAACCAATGAGAAGTTCAGATGAGACTTTTCTCAATAAGCGATGATTTTGAGCTTGTTTGTGGCGATGTTGTGTCTGGGAAAAAAAAAAAGAAAAGAAAAGAGATTGCAAAGAAAAACTCTTCCTTTGGATTATGGTTCACCAATTTCACTAATTAGCAGAATGGAATTTCAAACCCATAGTAATCAGACAAGCTAACCAAGTGAGGAAGGTGACCTAAATATAAGCTCGTGAAAAAAAAAAATCCCTATTTATTCATCCCAGTAAATAGTCACACAAACATGGAGATAACCATATCAATTAACATTTTCAGTTGAGAGCGAGATGAAGATTCTGAAATGACAAGAGGATAACCAAAACTCTGGACAACGTGCCAAAATTAAAAACTGACAATTTGTTCTTCTGAGATTAAACTTAAGCATTGCAGACCAAGCTCTTCTCAAAGTTTCATTGCTGCTACTATAATTCTTTATTTGGCATTCCTCAGCAATAAAATTCCTCCCTATTACTAAGAAGGATGTCAACTCCTGAAAGGTCAGCACATTAACAAATTGTGAACTTTCACTGTTATCCTTTTACCAAGGACAAAGTTTTTAACTTTGTCAACTGAGTTCCACTTTCATAAACACAATTTTCTCTGTTCAGCTTGTTTTAGGTATTCAAAAAGAGTATTCCAAGCAAGCCTTTATACACCACTTTCCTTGCTAGATTTCTATTTAAATGTTGTGCAAATAAACAAGTTCTTTCTGTTCAGTTTGACACTAGAGTACCTCCTCCCTTAGTTATAAGTTCATTAGTAAGACTTGTATCACTAAACCATTATTATCTCTAAAAATAAAATAAAATTGCATACAAAATATTTAGATTTCAGCATTAAATAACCCATAGATATGTTGTTAAACAAAAACAACCAACACACTTGAGTAAAAGTCCTTTTCTTGTGTGCTCAATGGCTTAATTTTATTACCCCCTCACACATACACCATATAGATTAATTTCCATATTTTTGCTAATAAAAAAACATTTTGTTTTAGTATATATTTTGCTGTTCTGGTACTAATTTTCAGTTCTTGTCATCTTTTTCTGTTTAAGTAGTAGCCATTATGATTCCATTTAAGTTAAAACTTTACAAAAAATAGAGTTACTTCCAAGGCGATCCTCATGAACAAGAGCAATTTTATTGAATAATCATTGTTTTCCTAAGTTGAACATGTGTGCAAATTCTTTAAAATAAAAGCATGTTGTAATGTTTTTTGTTTTTCTATTGAATATCTTTCATTCTTCCTGCTATCAGTCTTAATATTCCAGTCTTGATAGAATCCAAAAGCATCTCAGCATCCTTGTGGGTGATGAAATATCACAAGCCTCACACTGCTCTATTGCTATTTCCACAGAAAGTGTTCAGATGAACTACATTCCTTAGTTCCACCAATTATAATCTTCATGGCTAAGACCCGTCATGCCACACACATTGTAGAGAACTACCCTCATCCTCTTTGTATTCCATTGGTGAAATGTAAGTTAGCAGCTTCTTCCTATCAACTGCTGCTTTGTGGAACTGACTCTCATCACAGCAGTTTTAACCTGTTTGTCTAGTATTAACAATTATCTGCTCCCACATATCTCTATAAACTGTGCCTCTTACTCTGTAACCTTCTACCTCAAGTGGCTCCTGAGCCTTGTACAGTGAGAACATTGTTGAAAATTTTATTTTTTTTAAATAAAAATAATCACTTGTTTTCAATTGTCTGACCCACAATGGATAAACACCTGTATAAACATTTAAAATAAAAAAATAAAAGGTTATATAAATTAAACTTTTAGGCTTAGTAAACAGGCTCTTTAATGACAAATCTAGTTTCACAAATTCAAATTCCTTGGACATTTAATTAGTTCAAAAATATTATAAAGGCAGTTTTCTAACAAAACTGACATTTTGTAACTCGAGGTTTCTCTCTAACAGTTTTGAGAAATTAAAAAGGGACTATAATGTTCAGAAACTCCATCTTCACCTGTTTAAAATGATTAGAACAGAAAGAACAAACAGTTATAATTAAAAAGAGAAAATACCTACAGTAGTTAACAATAAGAGAGAAAAACAAATAATACAAAAGGATAATAGAATAACCAGTTATTGCTCCTTACTTGTCAGAACTTGATTGAGAAAAGTAAAAAAAAATAGGAGCAAGAAAAACAAAAATATACAGAATGAGCTAACCGGTTATTGCTCTTCATTCATCAGAACTCAATCAAGGAAAATAAAATTTGTTTTTTCATAACTGACTAAAAAGAAAATACAAGCATATGAATATATTGAGATAAGAATATTTTTATAAACAAACCATATTATGTGACCTGCTCTGGCATCTCTATTTCAGTCACTCTCACACCATCATAATATTGCTTCCTTTTCTATAAATATTTTCATAGTAATTGTTCTGATGAGCTTTCTGCTTTGGTAACAAGTGTAGTACTAGATTGGCAGTTAGGTCTCATCATTTTACTGTTGAAATTGTTAGATGTAACCATAAGTTCTATTATAATATTTTTTTTTCTCTTGCACTTCTCGCTTGTGGAATGCTTCTGGTTTCTTGCTTTCCTATCAATTAAAATATTCCAAAATTTACATGCAATTTCAACCATCATCTTCTGCTTCCTTAAATCCTGTTCCTATATTGTCCTTTCTACTCAATAAGGTTTTCTCAGTTTCTTTCACATTCAGTAACCTCTTGCATCTTAGTGGCTTGCTTGATTAAATGATTTAAACAAAAACAAATCAATCATTCCTTCTGTTTAACTAAGGAAGGCAGTTCTGATTTAATAAAAATAGTTTCAAGGACTTTTTAAATATGGTTAGATTTTGAGAAAGCAACTGATGAGAAATGGATGTGTCGAATTGGCATGTCTAGCTTAAATTCCAGCCAAGACTGTTGCATTTGCTTTCACACAAATACTCTTGTGAAGGAAATAAATCTAGGGATTAAACAAGGCTGATTAGGTTCCCTACTTTTAGTTGGCAATCCATCTAGGACAACTGAACTCAGTTGAGCATGGAGCTAATAACTCCTTGCTATAAAACCTATTGCTACTGAAACTAGAGTAGCAACACTTAGTGCAGAAAGGTTGAGGCCCTATACTCTACAGAGGAGTTTAATGAAAGAGAGATCTATATATTAGACTAGAGTCTCTTCGGGCAATACTTCAAGAGAGGAGCTAAAATAAATTTCCTGTGCATGAGGCATTCCAGAAGGGAAGTGCTGAGAGAGCTCAGCTATTTTTTTCTCAAGTAACATATTCTGTCCAAGTAGGCATTACAATGAATAATGAACCACATTTAAGGTCGCAATGTTATATAATACTTGAATACATCCATACACACACAGTTTTACATACAAAATGACATTACAAGAAAATTTCTGCTGAACAAATTTGATCCATTATCTTTTCCTTATAAATCTGCACAGACATGTGATTGTGTGATTACCCTACCTTATCTGCCAAGGTACTTCCCTAGGCACCACCTACTAGGTGTGGCAATAAGCAATATAAAAGACAGGATATAAATACTTTTGCTCACTCACCCACAGGGTGTGGTAGTGACAAGATGAGACTCATCTTCTATGGGGAAGCACTCTCTGAGCAAATTAACTTCTTCATTTTAACCAAACTACACGGCATATAAATCACACTCAATCTAATCACATGCCTTTTCTCCTATTATGAGAGATACATGTGAATATTTTTATTATTATTTTATAAAGCAGGAGAAAATTTCTGCTTATTGAAAAATTTTATGGGAATACTACTCCGTTGCTACAGATATCTTCCTCTGTCTTTTCTACAAATATTTTCATGGCAACTGCTTTGATGAGCTATTTTCACTGCATGAATTTAAGTGTGCTATTAGTTTGGCATTTCAGTCCCACCCTTTCACTATCAAAACTGTTAAATGTAACCGCTTCTTCTACTCCAACAGCAGCTTCTTTTACACTTCCCAATAGTGGAACTCCCTTCCTCTTACTTGCTTCCCTGATAACTATAATCTTCAAAAATTTTAATGTAATGTCAATTGACATCTTCTGATGACTAGATCTTGATCCCCGTTCTTCTCTTTATCTTTTCCTCAAACACCCCTCTTTACTCTTACTTTCATTCTCTGTGACCCCTTGCATGCTAGTGGCACTGCCGCCTTGCTTGGGGCGAAATGCTTGAGTGGGAAAAAAAAAGAAGTGTGTATGTGTGTGTGTCTTTCATTTGTTGAATTCATTTATTTTGAAAGTATTCAATATTTTGTAGAAACTTCTTCCTGCTACAAGCAGTAACCTGATCATGATTCACAAGAACAATATATATATATATATATATATAAAAAAAAAAAAAACTTACTGAATATGGTTCTGGTTCATAATTACATTTGGGCATCACAACTTCAGGTTTGGTAGCTGTCTGCAGGCCTGAAATTAAGAATTTATTGCATTTATATAAATATAAAGCAAAGCCAACAGAAAATCATTCTTTTCCAATAAATATGACATGAACAAACATTGAAATCTATTTTAAAAGAAGATTCTCTGTCTTGCTTTGTATGTGTGAGTTGTTGCCTGTTCATATGTAATGTGTTACGCATTACCAACTTACCTGTGCTTGTGCCATTTAATGTATATGAGGTAGGTTCAAAAAGTATTCGACTTTATATCAAAACTAATGCTGCATGGACAAAATCCTCTGAGTAGGAGGTGACACCACTCTTACTGCACATGCATGAAATTTTTCACATTGGTAGGTTACATCAGTTCCCAGCTGTTATGCCTAGATTACAAATATGTAGTGCACACTTGTCAGATTTGTTTCTACACAAGATGACAACACAAACAGCAATATTGCATCAAGTTTTGCCAAAAGCTTTGTGATACTCAAGCTCAAACCATTCAGAAGATTCAGCAGGCCTTTGGTGATGATGCCAGGTGCAAAACTCTGACCAACCTGTGGTACAACTGCTTCAAACATGACTACACCTTGTTGGAGAGCGAGGCACGCTCAGGCAAGCCATCCACAAGCCAAAACAAGGTGTCAATTGGGAAGGTTCAGCAAATAGTCATGGAATACCATCATGTAACAATCCAGGAAATTGCTCACAAAGTGGGAATAAGCACAGGATCAGTGCATTCCATTTTAATGGAGCATTTCTGTATGCAAAGAGTGTCAGTGAAATTTGTCTGCTTAGTCTGGCCATATAATCCAACCTTTCCTGATCAAGAACAATGTACTACTTGTTCAACAAGTTCCCTATTCTCCAAACCTGGCACCATATGACTTCTGGATCTATCCCAATCTGAAAACCACACCAAAAGGGAAGCGATTTGAGTTGTGAGAAGAAACTATGAGTAAAGCTCTTTAGCATCCCAGAGGTGTTATGAGCAGGGGTAGAACTTCTGAAAGAAGTTTGCAAATTCCCAAGGGGAGGTATTTTGAAATTAAAATTTGCGCAATGTACAAAATTTACTTTTTTTATTTCCAAAGGTTGGATAGTTTTTGAATGCACCTCATACACTAATATATTGCACACACAAATACAAACACTATTTGACCGAATTTGTGATAAGACACCGATATAATACATCCTCCTTGCAAGTCAGTCTGAATAACCTCTACTCTGGGTTAAGAAATAAAATCATGAAGTCAGATAATTGTAAGTAGAATTTTTTTTTTATTTTAAAATTTTCTGAAATATTTTTAGGTCTGCCATTAAATTAAAATATACATTTACAAACAGATTCACATTTGAATGAAATTGAAATGGACATCTTTATCATGATGACTAATTTCCCCTTTCTGTTTGGTAAAAACCCTTTTGAAAAGATTTTTATTACTCCTGTATTTATACTGAATATATTTTCTAATAAATGTAGTATTTTAAACAGACAAATAAATTGGGTTTGAAATTTGACTGTAAATCTACCAGATATTCTTATTAGTTAAACATTGATTGCTGGGTTGTATATTTTTCAAGATTACTTGCATTCTTTATTGATATTAATAATATTGATTATTACATCCATGATATAATAACACTGTAATTCACGGATGGAACAGAAAGGCTGAAAGGAAAAGGAATGACAAACATGCTTTGTTTCTAGAGAGAGTTTTATACCACAAAAAGACATATACAACATTATATATACACATATATACATGTGTCCAATGCAAAGAAAAATATAACATATCTACATGGCAAACTGAGTGAAAGGAGAATGAAAAGAATCTCCATATTATATATAATATGGAGATTCTTCTGTGTTCCTGGAGAAAACATGTTTAGGACTCCAGATTCAAGTAGCTGGGTTCATCTACTATATCCCAAGCAAGAACATATTCTATGAACTGGAAATGGCGAGTCTTGGGTTTTCACAAACTGATGACTGTTAGTTGGAGATTTCTATATCTGGGGAAGATACATTCTCAAAAGGAAACAGTGCCATATGGTTTATGAAGCTGTTTGGGTAGGCAGATTTAGCTGCAGTGTGGTCTGAGCCAGAACAAGCAACTGTTTCATTTAGCTCCTGTAAATGAATAGTATGGCTTACTGACAAGTGACCATTATGTGACTTATCTCAACTAAAGTGTCATATAAGAAGAAAATGAATAACAACTGACACCAGGTTCAAGTGGGACACTCTGGACTTAAGAATATATGTTTTCCACCAAGTGTATAAATAGTGGTGTCAGGCTGCTGACTGGGGTGATTATTGATTGAAACTATCCAGTTTAATTAGTGTGAATTATTGTGCATTGCTGATTTGGGTTTTGATTTAGAATTTACAGGACATTAAGCCAAGCCATGCTACTAACAAGGTATTCACTGAAATGGTTAATTATTTTTGGTTGACTTACTTTTTTGTTCTTGTTAAGTATTTATTTGTGGTTGTAATTAAATACTATTTTATCTTAACATTGTAGTCCTGAGTTATACTTAATTATTAATGTCACAAAACAAAGGCAGATAATCACCTTTTATATCCCTGCAGAACTTTTCAGCCATCTTTGATAAAATACTTCTATCATGCAAACCTCAGTAACCTCTACCCCAAGTGGTTCCTAGGCCTTGTACAGCACGAACATCATTGTAAAAGAAGAAAAAAGTTTTGGTTTTAAATAACTCACAAAGGGTTGATAAGCCATAAAAAACAAAAAAAAACAAAAAAACAATCAGTTTGTGTTTTTTTCAATCAATAATTGTTGGAGTGGGACTTCATATTCTGGTTATGCCACCTTTTGGGCATATATTATTCCCACACTGTGGGCAATCAGGAGAATATATTGAAATTTTTTCCCCTCGAATTGACTGATCCATATTTGAGAAAAAAAATTTAAATTAAAATAAATAAAACTTTTGAAGAAATCTATAGTGTTTCCACTATTTAAATGGGGACTATTGACCTCATCTTTGTTCTTGTTATCATAATATTTCGACAGTTGTTCCCTCTGGACTTCATCAGACATAGGACGATCTGTGTAACCTACATGGAATTCCGAACTAAACTCTTTATATAATTTATGGAGGTAGACTGTTCTCATTCCACTACCCATATCTAGGGATATCCTATCTAGATCTTATTTCAAATACTGCTCAGTTATTGCATGCCTTATTTCCACTGAGTCTAAGTACACATTACCCAGCTCAGGAATTGAACTCACAAAATTCATAAATCAACACTTTAATCCACTAGGTTATTCACTGACAGGTAGAAGGCTAGAGTGCATAACTGTCGAAATGTTGTCATAACAACCAACAAGGACAATAGAAATCCTAGAAATTCAGACAGAAATCTATAGCAGTTGAAAAGCTATAGCCAGTCAAAAACTGTTGATTTGCTATCTTAAATGTCTATGTGAAAATACAGAGAAAGTGAAGTTGACACTACAGATATGACATTGAGACTAACCTATTTAAAGATTCAAGAATTATATGCTTCAGAAAGACACTATAAATAAGTTTATCTACTTTTTTTTTTATTAAGACAGATCTTAATAAAGACAAAGGAAAAAATATTGAAAAATAACCTAAAAGGTTTAAATTCAAGCAATAAGTTACTTTCTGCCATTACGTCAATGCCACATTCCAGTGAAAGAAAAAAAAAAAAAAACATTGTCCCATTGCATAACCTGACTGTACCAATTAGGATGTCCTGAAAAGTAACATTTTATAATTGGAGTGTTACTACCAGGCAAAAACACAAAAGAAATCATGTCAAAAGGATGTTTTTTCTTGACACCACTGATACCATATATTCCCACACTAATTTTCATCATTTAAAAAAGATATTTTTTGCTATTTTTTAGAATTTATATAAAAAAACAAACAACATTTGAAACTGAATTTATGTTTTAATTAGGTACCTCCAAAGTTTCACTAAAAAAAAAAAAAATGAGCATACCTAATTAAAAAATGCCCCAAGTTTAATAAAAACAAAGTTTTACTGTCAAAATCTTTGTTGTTATTATTAAGAGGAAAGATCAAAGAATTTTTTGATTATTAAATTATATTTTTTAATCCTTTTTAGAACCTTCAAAATTTTGGTTTACATTTTTTTTTCTTACATTAGCAGATGACCATAAATTAGTATAGGAAATTTTAGTGCCTTCAATTTAGAAACTCTTACAAAAATCAAATAATTGATTTTAATGAAACTTTCAGGACTTATTTACAAATGAATGAAATTATTTTAGAAATTCTTTTTTTAGAAAATCTAGGTAAAAATATATATATACTTTTTTTTATATTTGTTACCCACACATTTAATTTTATGAAATTGAGAAATTCATTTCTATAGTACTTAATGATTATATTAGTTATAAGCAGAAGTCTTAGGAGAATTTAAATCATCAAATTTCTTTTCTAAAACAGGATTTCCATTTACTAAAAATTTGGTCTGAATCATAAAATGCAATAAAACTAAGACATTATTTAATTAGAAATTCCTAATTGCTTTTATGAATAAGATATATTATGGACACTCTGAGGAAAAACAATTTTTCAATTGATAATGAATTTTTACAAAAATTGTAAAAATATTGTTATTGTTCTCACATCTTTTATAATCTTTTAACAATTATAAATAATGTTTAATATTTGTGCTGTCAGTTCAAGATTTTTCTGATTTGATTTTTTTGTTTAATGGCATATCAATTCCTTATGGATCATTTAGTACCAAAATCTAATTTTCTTGGAAGCTTTGAAGCAATAAAACTATGATATATGTTATTCTTCTTTCACAATTTAATACATGTAGAGGATACTCAGCTTTTTTGCATATACATGTTTGTGTGGACATGATTACTAGAGGAAGTGATATGTGTATTTTATATTGTAGTTCCATTGAAGTTATATTTTGGAATACAGTTTGATTTATTTAAGAAATTGTAGGATATTATAGGGATTAATATCATGAGAGTA